TCCACTCTTGTATGCAAACCAGACCATTACCATCGAGATCGATGCTTGCGAAAGCTGATTCCTTGCTGACCAGTCCAGCGAAGTATTTCGCAACCTCGACAGGTATTCTATACAGTTCAAATGGGTAAAAAAGAAAAGGAAAGAAACTGTATCTACATGTCTACAATGTAGTGGTAATAATCGTATACCTTTTTCCTGCTTGATATTGAAGAACGGACGTTTTGAACGATGTTTAGCAGCTAAAGAGCATCAAACTGCATGCTGAATGAGTTATCAGAAAGACCTTAGTTTCGAGGAAATCGTCAGAGACAAGAGACACTTTGTATAGTTACTTCTTTTTACAAGAATTTATCTTAATCTTAATAGGTCATTAGTAAAAAAAAAAATAAAAAAAAATCTTGACAAGATCATATGACAGGGTAAGTTTTTTTTTTTTTTTTTTTTTTTTGGGGGGGGGTTCCACGTACATGGTGGATTCAGTAAAAGGAGGAATACATATAGAAACACGAGACGATATAACAAAAAAGAACAATAAAGACTTTCAATAAAGAATCGGGAAAGTCTACACTTTTTTATATATCTGACAGCCCAGCAAGGACCAGAAAAACACAAGTCATAGTATTTCGTGCGCAGGATAGAGGTCGGTCTCACCCTTTCATAGTGCCAATTGTTATAGTCGAGTGGTGCATTTAAAATATGCCAACTTAACGCTTGTTTACAAACAATAATCACTACATGTATCATTTATAATCATGGAAAGTGTCGAATATAGTATAAAGAATCCATGTCGCAGAACTTTGTCTACAGGCAGGCATTTAAATTGTTTACAATGAATATAATATTAAAATTTACAGGTATGTGACATGTTAATGATGCTTAATAAGTTCAAATAGGCCAATGTGGCGAAAATAAATGATATCTTTTATTTTATTAATGCTATTGTGGAAAGCCTTTATCAACATGGATAGACTCGGTGGTTATTCTTGTTTGAAATTACACAGTACTTCACATTTTTTATGTTTGAATCCTCTATGTACACAATTTTTATCATAATTATTACTAGAAATGGGTATTGTTCTTACCTTGGCAGGCTTGGTCCCTGTGAGGAGGGCAGAAAGGGCAGATGGAGGAGAGGAAGGAGGTGAGAAAAAAAGTAGAACAGGTAGGCCGGTACAAGAGGACATAGAGAGAGAGAGAGAGAGTGAGAGAGAAGACAAAAAAGGAGAGAGACAGCGAGAAAAAAAAGAGATAGAGAGAAAGAGAGAGGGGTAGGAGAGGAGGGAAGAGAGAGACAGAGAGCGAACACAGAAAGGAATTCAAGGGAGAGGGGATAAAGGATTAGAAAAAAAAGAAGAGATTAGGAAGAGAGAAATGAAAGAGAGAGAGAGAGAGAGAGAGAGAAAAGGAAAGTATTGGTAATTTGACAATGTAAAGTGAGAATAATAATGTAGAAGAAACTACTGATTTACATTTCTAATGGAGCTCTGCATGGTTTAACGTACCTGAGGCATATTATAGTTTTAAAAGATATGAATTTTAAAAAAAGAAAGTAGCATGCATCTCAAAATCCTTACTCTAGAATAATAGTGCAGCTGTAACAATTAAAAGGAGGAGCAGGGGGAGGGGAGTCCATTCACAAGATGTGCCAAGTGGAGGGTAAAGGGCATCGAAATCAATATCGACTGAAAGAGATTAACAATATCTGTGGTAATAAAAATAACCCAACTCTATCTTGGATCTTGCAACGAGAAAAATGTGTGTGCGCGTGTGTGCGCGCACGGGATTTGATGGGACCCCTTGTTTATCCTCACAGTACCTCCACTAGGATGCAAGCCGAATGAAAACTCACAACTGGGCCTTCTGGGCCTCCTGGTCCGACAAGGCCTGGTCCGACAAGAACCGGTCTGGCAATTCTGGCAAGAGCTGATACTACCGACTTTCCTTGTTTACGTCCGGGTCCAGGTCTACCTCCTGGTCTAGGCCTACCCGGCTGGCTTATCTCCCACGATGGGCCCGCACCACTCACGCATCCCCATGCCATGGAGATGGTGCACATCATGCATGCAAACGTGAGAAGAAATACTTTCATCATGCTTGTTTCACGGAAACCTGAAATGATTATAGTAAAGACATAATGTTCACATTCAAGTTCAAGTTCAATAAATTAATAATTGTTGATACATGTACAAATATTTATTAAGGGTACCATTAAAGACTATATAAGACAGATCTTGTCACATCCGACGACCGACGTCGTTTTGTTAATTGCTCGTCGCGTGCAATCGGTCATGAAAGATATTCACATTGCCACCTTATGCAGATGTTGCAGTGTGTGAATATAGTTAACAGAAGATTTTATTGGCTATATAACTTGTTTACATACATACATACAGTAGATAAACAATACTTAGGTGCCTGTGGCGGCTAATGGACGAAATGAACATGATTATACACTTGCAAAAACACAGAGAAAAGGAGAAAAAAAGCTTAATGTCGTTTTCTGATCGTGACTTCTATAGTGATATTAATGTATTGAAATGACCATTATAATGTAATTGTGTGCTTATATTAAGAAACAAACTGCAGTTAAAGATTAGGAAGTATATAAATTAGTATTATGTTTTGAAAGAGTTCGATTCTATACGATATCTGAAAAAATAAATATATACATTTACCTTGACTGTGAGAGCAAAATTCTAGAACACTTTTTCGAGGGTAGTATTGATAAGTCCGAAGTCCCCTCGACAATCAGCGAAAGTCAATTAGCAACCAGCTCTCTCTGTATTAATACGGATTCAATCAACTACCGTTTCTTAATGAAAGGTTTTGTGCTAAGCCAGCTTTTTGTATATATATATATATATATAATTATATACGACTGTATATAGTCCAAACCTGTACGATCGGGATGATTGTATCCCGGATATACGTGGTGTTACCTGATAGAGTTTGGATTGGATTGGGATTGGATGGAGATACGTCTGTCTCGAAAGATTCTACCAGAGCTGCCCTTATCAGACCACAGATCCCCTGTGGCAATCCAAATGTTACGAAATGTTACGCAACACCGTCCGCTTCATCGGTCTAAAAAATATGGAGGCTTCGAGCTTGTATAGAAGTGATGCGAGGCAACGCGAAAATGACGTCATGTTTAGTGAAGTCGTATATAGCTACAACATACAAATCTCTTTTGCCCCCCCCCCCCCCACATTCAGATGATTTTTGTGCACAATTAACTATCTCCAATATGATTCTTGAAGGGGAAGTTCACCCTAATATTCAGTTTGTTTAAATAGAAGCAGAAAAGGACAGGAACAGGAAACTTAAAGTCTGACCAAATTCTGATTGAAAATTAAGAAAGTTATGAATTGGTTAAGTTGCTATCAATAAAATTAAACACAGAATTGCAACGCTGTCACGTATCTTGCGAGCTCCTCTCCCATTTAGCTAGAAAGCGGAGCTGGATGAGTCATCTTATTCGCCAAAATGCAGCGAAGGGGGACGTCTCTGGTCAATTTTGTAATAAGGGCTCTCTCTCTCTCTCTCTCTCTCGCTCTCTCTCTCTCTCTTATCTCCCTATATGCTTTATGAATTTCCTATGTTATTATCATCTCGCCCCATCACATTCCCATAGCACACACAATGTTTATGTGCAGCTGGCACATAAACATCATAAAACGGTAAAAGATATATGTTTCTGTGGCTTAAACGTCCCCTTAGAGTCGAGGCATTATAATTCAACTTTGACTTTTTGTATGTCACTTTATGTCAATTTTAGGAAAGTTTAATACGTCATGTATTTTGGTGTTGCTGTGGATTCTTCTTATATGCTTAAGCTACAATGTTACAACTGCTATGCCTGTATTTCGTTTTCGGTGGCAAAATGAAGTCATTGCCTGCATGGAAATTAAACTGAAATCGAAAGAAGACGAATAGGTATCACAGGACGAAAAATAACATTGGAATAAATATACATTTTCTTCAAGCAATGAGCTGCGAAATAGCAAACAGGGGGGGGTTAGAATGTAGTCAGGGAGTTTTCGGGAGATTTCCCCGATCAAATAGGGTGCTCTGAGGGCTAATCCTCTTCTCTGAACCACAAAAAAAAATCCAGTATCGGCTAGATTGACATAAGGTGGGTTTTGATTAAATCAAGGGAAAATAAAAGGGGTTTGTAAATCGACGTGGACCAGGAGACAGGAAATAATACTTCAAGGTACAAACTTTCGGTGGTAAAATTAAAGGTGCCATTCAGCGCATTTTCCCCCTTTTTTTAATGAAGAGTGCAAATTGTTTATTTTTGCATTATCCGTCGTTACGTGCTTGGAAAATTGTACTTGGGGACCAATTCCATAATAAGAGACGAATTCCATTAAAAAGGATATTACCAAGATCCTTGACGTTATAATCGGCGTCGTAATCATACCATCGTCGTTGTTTTAGTGAAATGTATAGTTTTTTCTCGAATTGATTACCATTAAAACAAAGACGTCCTCATCTTATGGCCCCAAAAACAATATACTGAGGGTGAGTGAGAGAGAGAGAGAGGAATAGAGAGAGAGAGAGAGGGAGAGAGAAAGAGAAAAAGGAGAGAGAGAGAGAGAGAGAGAGAGAGAGAGAGGAAAGTGGGAGGGGGAGTTGACAGAGGGAAAAGGGCAACGTGAAAGAAAAGAAGGTGACCCCTCTTATATCCCCCCCCCCTTTATGGTCCCTTTCCTCAGTTCATCCACCTATTGAGAACGCATCCACACACACACATACACACACACACAAACACACCCACTCACACAACTATGTCCCCTCGATGTATGGACCCACTTTATCTTCGACATTAGGAAAAAAGAGTAAGTTTTCTCCGATATGTATTGTTATAGATATTTAGCAATTGGTTTGCTTCTCTTGTCTTTGCCTTTGTTATTTTAGCTCTGTATATATTATTAAGAAAATAACTAATTATTATATAAGTGAGCCTACTAAATAAAAAATCAGTAACAAGATGATTTAAATTGGATCATTACTTGATTCTCCAGTTTATTACTTTGTACAAACATTGAATATATACAAAATATTTCAAAATAATTCAATTACAAAGGTAAAAATGAAAAACATAGGAATATTACAGAGACAATGTCTTATGAAAACCCTATTTCAGCTTGGCAAGTTGATGCATTTACAAAATTGGCACTCATAGCATAAAATATCGTAACGGCAAACACAAATATTATCTATATATCGGAAGGCGGGAGATATCACAAAATGTGGGAAAGGCAACTCAATCTCTAAAAAAAACCTGATAATCAGGTAACACATTTCAAACATGGCGGATTGATTGGTTTTGAATTAACATCAAGTAAAGACAAAAAAATCATTTGATGTCTTCTAAATTTATCAACTCAAAAGTATTTTATGTCATGCAGTTCAATTTGTATCAATAGCTGTGAATAATTTTAATTTTGTGGTTCGATACATTGCCTTATATAGTTTTGTCTGTTATCTGACACACGTTTACATAACACATTTGCGATTCACCAGCCGTGCATTCTAACGAATATCAGAAGCTGATTCTTGGTTTGATCATGGACCTATACACCAACCTGCCTCAAAAGTCACGCTGTCTGTTGGTTATTGGTAGACTAAACGGTTGTAGCTCAGGAAGAGAGATAAGATTATCGCCTTTATGATTTGAACAAAAAGAGAAAGAAGTGACAGTCAGTTATGGAAATTGCACATTTTTTTTTGCAATCTCAAAATGATGTTACTTGCTAGAATGTCATTTCCATTGCAACATGACAATGATTACAAAGTTAGGCTATCCTTCCGTAAATTATGCGATAGTGATAACAATTGTTATAATATTCATTACACTTAAAATTTCTTTAACACCTTCTTGATACTTTGAAAAATGTTCAGCGAATCCTACACTCATCATGTTAAATCGATTATTAAATTACACAACAAATAATTAATTTCTCTACCACCTGATATCATCGTCATCTCCATCATCATCATCATCACCAGCATCATCATCATCATCATAACACCATCATCATCATCATCGTGAACAACAACAATAATAATGATTTTAACAGAACCATTTAAACAGAATCATGGGCATTAGTATACTGAATTTATCTTAATCATTCATCATCAACAATAGGAACGATATAAGAATTATCTGCACCTTGGCGTCGCCGTCATCATTACCACCATCCTCATCATCTTCATCATCATCATCACCATCACCAGCATCACCACCACAATGATCACGTCTTACCATTAGCGTCAAGGCGAACGAGCATGTAATTAAATTCTGTCCTGGCGCCGCCTATCAAAGTCCACTCTTGTATGGAAACCAGACCATTACCATCGTGATCGATGCTTGCGAAAGCTGATTCCTTGCTAATCCGTCCAGCGAAGTATCTCGCAACCTCGATAGGTATGCTATACAGTTCAAATGGGAAGAGAGTAAAGGAAGAAATTGTATCCACACGTTTAATACAATCTAGCGGTACCAATATAATAATAATTTTTCACTGCATAGTATTGAAGAATGTAACTAAGTTTTAATAAACGATGTTTTGCAGCTAAAAGCTCTTACTGTCTGATGCATGATGTATAAGAAAGACCTAGGGAATCTCATTCGAGACTAGAGGCATTATATATGGTAACCATAATGTTTACAAGAATGTATCTTCATGTGATTCAGGGTAATTAGAAACAATCTCGGCAAGATCATATAGGGTAAGGTTTTGGTTTTCCCTTCCACCGACAAGGCGGATTCAGCAAAAGTAGTTAATATTGAAACATGAGACGGCATAAAAAAAAAAACAAGAAAGACATTTAATACAGTATTGGGAAGACTACACTAGGGAAACATCAACCATGATAACTTTCGTGTGACCTCAGCTTATTCATAGTGCCCCGTTGCTACAGTCGAGTGGTGCATTTACAATATTTTCAACTTTACGCATTATGTCCCACTCAGTGGCGGATCCAGGGGGGGGGGCCCGGGGGCCCGGGCCCCCCCCCCTTGAGAAAAAAATCATGTAAAATCACGGGATTTTTACCTTTTTTGGGGGGTTGGGCCCCCCCCCTGGCGCTCAAGGGGGGGGTGCAAATTGAAATTTTTTTGAGGATCAAAAAAAAAAAATGTGCTCACTACCCCCCCCCCCCCCCCCCCCCCCCCCCCCCCCCCCCCCCCCCCCACTGAGCGAATTTTTGGCCGGCGCGTTTTTCAAATTTTCGGGAGCAAAAAAAAAAAAAAAAAAAAAAAAAAAAAAAATTGAGGAAAAATGTGCTCACTACCCCCCCCCCCCCCACACTGAGCGACTTTTCGGCCGGCGCGATTTTCTAATTTTCGGGAGCAAAAAAAAAAAAAAGTTGGGCCCCCTCCCCTAAGAAATCCTGGATCCGCGCCTGGTCCCACTTGCAGGCCAAAAAAATGAAAAGTTAAATTCCAACGGCATTTGAAAGATGTTACTAATTTAGAACTTCTCTCAAAACGAAAGGGCGTGAAAATGTCTTTTAGTGGGAAAATAACGAGCAAGTTGTCGAATCGACTTAAGTGATTGCAATTATGTAAGTACCGAATGGTCGTATGTTTTGTGATGCGTAAAGATTCAATCAGTTTGATTTTGGCCATCACAAGGAGAGGGTTATTGATGTAGACAAATGCTCATGTACCTTTACAGCTCATTTTATGTATGTTATTACCAAAGAACAACAAAAGAAGTCAGTCACTCACTCAATAGTGTCTGACAGTGAAGTCTAGAAAGTAAACGGGTTTCCTTGCATAATTTGAATAATAGGACACTGCTAACGTTTACATTTCACAGATAGGACATAGCCTACGTGACATATTCAAAATTCCTGCAAAGCTCTACAGAATTTGATGTTGGCTGCAAATGGGACATAGCACCTTTAACAAACAATAATCATCTACATTTATGATATGTAATCATAGAAAGTGTCGCAAATCATATCAAGAATTCATGTCGCGGAACTTTGTCTACAGGCAGGCATTTAATTTTTACAATGAATATAATATAAGATATTACAAGTTTGTGCCATAATAATGATGCTTAATAAGTTAACAATATTAGTCAATGTGGCAAAAATGAATAATCTCTTTCATTATATTAATGCTATCGGGGTAAGCTTTTATCATCATGTAGATTCGATGGCTTTTCTTGTAAGAAATAACACGGTACATTGCATTTTTTATGTTTGAATGCTCTATGTACATTCAAATATTATCATAATTATTACTAGAAATAAGTATGATTGTTCTTACCTTGGGCGGCTTGGCCTATGTACCTTGGCTGCCACCCTGGCTGCGGGCCTGGCTGCACCCCATCCAGATCCTTTTCTATGTCCTGGTCCAGGTCTAGCCGGCTGGCTTAACTCCCATGCTGGGCCCGCACCACTCACGCATCCCCAGGCCATGGAGATGGTGCACATCATGCATGCAAACGTGAGAAGAAATACTTTCATCATATTTGCTTGTTTCGCGGAAACCTGAAATGAAACGAGAATATATGGTGAATACATAATGTTCAAGTTCAAGTTCAATAATTTCATAATTGATAATACATAGAATATGTACCATAAAAGATAGTCGACGTTTGGTTTGTTTGCTCTTCGCGTGCCAGCGCAGCGGTCATGAAAGATATTCACATTGCCATTATACCGAAGATACAGATTTTGCAATGTGAATAGTAAAAAGAAGATTTATTGGCTAGATAACTTGTTTACATATACATGCAGAAGAAAATAAAATATTACGGTACCTGCGACGGCTAATGTACGAAATGAACATGATTATACACAAAAGAAGAAAAAAAAAATTTACTATTTGTGACCTCTATAGTAATACTTGTTTGTAATTGTGTGCTTGCATTAAGAAAAACTACAGTAAAACATCAAGAATTATATAAATTAGTATTATATTTTTCACAGAGGTCGGAGCTCTATACGATATCTGAAAAATCAAATATATACCTTGACTGTGAGAGCAGAATTCTGGAACCCTTTTTAGAGTGTAGTATTGATAAGTCTGAAGCCCCCTCGACAATCAGCGAAAGTCAACAAGCAACCAACTCTCTCTGCATCAATACTGATTCGATCAAATTAATGAAATGTTTTGTGCTAAGCGAAGCTTTTATATACGACACAACTGTACAGTCCCAACCTGTATGATGGTGTTGATTGTTTACCGGATATAATTTATGTGGTTTCGAAATTTCTAATGTTTTTTCAAAAACTCTGATTGTACATATTAGTATGTTTATAGTATGTTTTTTCTTTCCTTCTGTTCTTTTGTTTTTTTTTTTTTCCTGTATCTGTGTGTTTTATGGATAGGCTTTCATAATCCTCCTTTCTGCCTATCCCAAATGCTCTCATAAATTGCCATTGTAATCTTTATCAATTTTTTTTTCCTTCTTCCTTTATCATTCCATACTGTAATTGTACGTTTTAAATGTTTTTATGAAGAGTGTTGAATAAACTTTGAATTAAATTGAATTGAATAATTAAGGGTAGGGGTGGAAAGTAAATGGATTGTAGATTGTAGCTTGTAGCTTGTCGTCATCATGTCTTATAGATCGACAGAAGAGAATAATAATAATTCATATATAGCGCAGCTACTATATGAATATTATTATAATAAAAATAAAATTGTAAAGTGCAGCTACGTCTCACGTTTCTAGACCTTTTTTTCACGCCTATATATATATATATATATATATATATATATATATATATATATATATATATATCATACATTCAATTTGTATTGACGCCGAGCTGCAAGTAACTTAGGGCTATATTTCTAAACACACACACACACACACACACACACACACACCCTTTATCCAGGGGCGTCGCTAGACCTTTTTCAGTGGGGGGGGGGGTGTAGAGGCCAACGATTACCGACAAAACTAGCCACCAATTACCGACAAAATTAAATTATTTTTCCTATGGACTATCTATATATAGTACTTGCGTATGCGCAAAATTAATGGTTATTTTCCTCGACGACATAAATACATGAATTATTTCGTCAACTTAGTCAGCATAGCTATATTTTAATGCAGGCGCGGAGCTAGGATCTTATTTTAGGGAGGGGCGGAAGAGAGCAAGCGAATCACTTAAAGAGCGCGCGAAACGCGCTCATTAGGGGGGTGGGTGATAGGCCTCCCGCGCGAAGCGCGGAAGTTTTGGCATTTCAACACAATATAGAGAAAGGAAGACGATTTATTGTACCGTTCTCGACTGTTAATCCTTGTCTTAATGAAGTCCCCCCCCCCTCCCGCGCGAAGCTCGAAAGCTTTGACATTTCATTAAATTATGAGAAAAGCAGACGATTCGGTGTACTGTTCTCGACTCTTAATCCTTATCTGAATTCAGTTCTCCCCCTCCCGCGCGAAGTGCGGAAGTTTTGGCGTTTCATTAAATTATTAGAGAAAGTAGACGATTCGTTGAACCGTGTCGACTCTTAATCCTTTGACGTTTCATTAAATTATGAGAAAAAAGCAGACGATTCGGTGTACTGTTTTCGACTCTTAATCCTTATCTGAATTCAGTTCTCCCTCCCGCGCGAAGCGCGGAAGTTTTGGCCTTTCATTAAATTTTTAGAGAAAGCAGACAATTCGTTGAACCGCGCTCGACTCTTAATACTTTGACGTTTCATTAAATTATGAGAAAAAAGCAGACGATTCGGTGTACAGTTTTCGACTCTTAATCCTTATCCGAATTCAGTTCTCCCCCTCCCGCGCGAAGCGCGGAAGTTTTGGCGTTTCATTAAATTATAAGAGAAAGTAGACGATTCGTTGAACCGGGCTCGACTCTTTATCCTTCTCTGAATGCAGTTTCCTCCACCCGCGCGAAGCGCGGAATTTTTGACGTTTCCTTTAATTATTAGAGAAATAAGACGATAGTACTGTTTCCACTCATATACATGAAGTTTTCCCCTCCCGCGCGAAGCGCGGAAGCTTTTACGTTTCCTTAAATTATTAGAGAAAGAAGACGATTCGTTGTACCGTTCTCGACTCGTCTAAATTAAATCTTCCCCTTCCGCGCGAAGCGCGGAATCTTTGGCGTTTCATCACAATATAGAGAAAGGAAAACGATTCGTCGTACCGTTGTTGACTTTTAAACTTTGTTTGAATTTAGTTTCCCCGAAAATGTTAAACCTCTGATTTCTTTAGCTGATATTATAGGAAAGTGAAACTTTGAGAAAAAATACAAGTATTGTAGTTGTAGTCACTCTCGAAGTCGTCACAGCGGATAAAAAGTCACAGTTCGTAGGGGAAAAAACTTGTCAGCCGACCGACCGACAATATACATCTCACCGACTTCAAACTTCTGCATTGATATTAGTACACGAGGATCGAGCAAGAACACCGACACAGCTGACCCGACACAGCAACATATTTGACCGTGTCTTTCTTGCTCCCTCGACGAGACGACTCCACCCAACAACCCCCTTTTCTCTTTTACTCCCACTCCTCTTCTCTCAGGCTCTTACCTCCCCTCTCTCTCCTCTCTTTCATCCGTTTCTTTTGTTTCCCTTTTACTCTTTTTTCTTCTTTTTTTTTTTCCTTTTCTTTTTTTCCTCTTCTCTCTCTCTTTCTTCTCTTTTCTTTCCTTTCTTTTCCTTCTTTCCTTTCTTTTCCTTTCTTTCTTTTCTTTTCCTTTTCTTTTTTCCTTTCTTTCCCTTTCCCTCTATTTTTTCCCGACGGCAGCGCAATTTTACCGACAAAATCCTGACAGGTGGGGGGTGTCGCACCCCCCCACACCCCCCCTTTGGCGACGCCCCTGCCTTTATCTAGTTAATACTTTGTTCAACCCGGAGAGCAACTTGGCAATTAGTATACGGAGTTTCATTAGGTTGTTCTGGAGGTTTCTACAATGCCAAAATGTAAAGTTATGGTAGGTTACTCGGAAACTGGCAAAAAGCCAAGAGGAGGACTGTGATCTCTCTCTCTCTCTCTCTTTCTCTCTCTTTCTCTCTCTCTCTCTCTCTCTTTCTCTCTCTCTCTCTCTCTCTCTCTCTCTCTCTCTCTCTCTCTCTCTCTCTCTTAATACTCTATGCTAGATGCCTTTTTCCTTGGGGGCGGGGGTATACTTGGTTTACACCAGGGGAATTGAATGCGAATTAACAATTTAAACAGATCGGAGGGAAGGGTCCTATATTCACCTTGTCACTCTCTTTTCCATCCTCCCCCTTTATTCCTAGCCTTTCTTTGTTTCGCCTTTAGAAGAAGTTGAAAGGCTGGGGGTGAAGGTACTACCCGCGCCTCCCATTCACATCGATATATCCAATCGGCTAATAATCACATACAACACTTTTGTTTAGTAAAAGGTTTGAAACAACAAAATATACGATCGATCACAAAGACTTTCGAAATGTCAACCTGATGCAATTTTACTAGCCTTTTCCATCACCTATTAAAATGAGCATCTACATAAAATTAAGCTGTGCAAAATGATGATGTAAGTGTCCTCATTTGGGGTAACATTATGCTGTAGATTACTGAAAAAGACCCCTCTAGCAGGGCGATCGGGCACGCTTACAGCGTAGGCGCCACAACTTGCATTTACCGGCATTTTGCTGCTTGGTACATTTCACGGCCCCCTCCCGCCCCTCACCCCCCCCCCCCCCCCACCTTGGAAAATAGATGTTCAAAAACTTCGCCATTGTGAGTTTCATACTATGTTGAGAATAAAAAAAGAGTAAGTACCCTCAGTTTTTGTTTGTTACCTTGACCAAAACTCAACCCTCATGATTTTAATAAAAATTTAATTGAAAGAAATTAAGAAGAAGAAAAAAGATGCATGTAGATATCAATCGAGTTGAATAAAATTAAACAAGCATGCAAGGCACGACGTTCAGTGGTGAAAAGAGTGATAACAATCTACATGATCTGATTCAGGCATTAAACCGATAAAACCAGGACATGTGGTGCTATAAAACATCGAATATCTTCCGGTAATTGAAAAGAATTTTTTTTTAATGCATAAAGATACTAATCGGGTTGAACTATTACATTAAACAAACATGTAAATTTAGCGCAGTTGAGTTATAAAAAGAATGATAACGAACTACATGATCTATTTCAGGAAATAAACCTATACAACCAGGACACATAGTGTTATAAAGCATCGAATATCTTCCTGTTATTGTCACCATTAGGTAAGGGGTTTTCCATTTTAACTTTTGAAAGAAAAATTTGATCTTAAAACATATGGCCAAGGTTTCCTGTGTGCTTCCTTTAAAAAAGAGCTGCTCTTTCTTCTTCCTCTCTTAACCTATTTTTTTAGGGGAAAGGAGGGAGTGGTAACATCGAATATCTTTCTGTTATTGTCACCATTAGGTAAGGGGTTTTCCATTTTAACTTTTGAAAGAAAAATTTGATCTTAAAACATATGGCCAAGGTTTCCTGTGTGCATCCTTTAAAAAAGAGCTTCTCTTTCTTCTTCCTCTCTTAACCTATTTCGTTGGGGGAGGGGGGAGTGGTACAGATTTGTATGATACATGTAATAGATAAGTGAGCGCTGAAGACACATGAGCAATTCTTCATGAAACTGTAATCCATTTAATACTGTCCATCTCGCACATTTCTTTTATAAATAAAAGCCCATAATATACTGCAAAGTCAATCTTCCTATTTATTATATAGTTCAAAATAAATACAATTAAGAACTACGTTTTACAGTCTAGATCAGATATACATTGATTGATAATTTATCGATATTTCTGAATTGTTTATTAGACGGTTTATCTCACCTGATGCTATGTGTTCTAGGGCCCTATCCCCGCATGATTTGGTTTAAATGAGAACTTAATTGAGAAGTATTTTGTTTTCTAGTAGGCCTACGTTTAAGTTCATGTAGTTGGACGAGTTTATAAACAGGGGTGAAAATTATGACACCCGACTGCCAATTCGGGCAGATCTAAGACTTAACTTAAGGGAGTAAACAATGAGCTTGAATTTAAGATGGAAAAGGGGATACATTTTCAAATTCGCCTGTTTCTTTAATACCTGCTTTTAATCACAAATCAACATGTTTGGGGGCTTTCTATATCCACCGACAGCTAGTAGATCAACGATGCTAGCCGCAGTATCCCCGTTTCCCGATGAACCCATTTGACTGCGTGCAGGCGGAACTCCTGCAGAACAAACGGATGTTATGTATGGCAATTGTATCACTTTTGTTTTTACTAAACTGGGCTTTTATGCGATTAGAATAACGATCCAATCGAACAGTGGTCCCTTCCTTTTCCCCTTTGTCCAAAACCTCTGTAATAACTTTTGCCAATTTTCCCCTTTTCAAAGCTTTGTAACATATCTATTTTTTTTCTTTCCATTTCTCGCTCTCTCTCGCCCCCCCCCCCCCTCTCTCTCTCTCTCTCTCTCTCTCTCCTCTCTTCATCTTTGTCCGTCTCTCGCCTGTTAACAGATATTCTTAAAATATATTGTAATTAGAAAATATTATTAATCTTGAAAAAATGAACTTAACTTTGGATACTATTTTTTGGGAAGATGTGAATCAAAGAAAGCTTAGAGTCTCATTTTACTCTTATGTTAGGTATAGTTGCTCGATTATAAAAAAAAACTGCCGCTAAGAAATGTCATATCCTTCTTCACTGAACTATCCAGACTGTAGGTTTATCAGAGGAAATCCTACAAAAAGATGAAACAGTATACACCTTTTCATGACTTTTCATGACTTTTCATAGAATGACAGTTTTATTTTGAGTATATTTCAAAAGTGGTATAATACAATTATATTTAATATTGGTTTCGAATACATAGAACTTACAACTCCCTCTTTCTCATACAAAAAATATGGCAAGAAATATAACATTCATATTTGTACAGTGTACTCTGGGCATCAAAGACAGATTGCACTTGTAAAATGCATGTAAAAAAACCGATAACACAATCCATTAAAAATTTGAATAGATGTGCATGATATCACATTAAATGAATACTTTATTTGGAGCAAATCATCTTTAAATTTCTTGATGTGAAATCCTACCTGCATACATGATATTCAAGACAAAATCCTACATTAAAGTGACTCGGTAACATTGCCTCAGATACTGAAACAAAATTCTGGATTTAGCTCATGCTGCAATCATAATCATAAACTTTTAGGTATCAGGAATCCCATGACTTTTACAAGCCGATCGCCTGTCTGATTATTAATATATTTATGATTGGAAATGAAAATTTTATTTTTTGTTTTCCAAACGGTTTTTTGCAACACGTAGTCTATTGGGGTTAATGAGTACCGGTATGGTAAAACCAGTCACTCAAAGATTTTCACTTTTTGAGGTGCTTCATGATCTTTTTGAAGTGCTATTTTGTTTACGGCTTCAATATTACACCATATCACAGACACTGATAACACGTAGGGCCATGCATCTCAGATTTAACATTGTTAAACGATGCCTTTAAGGATGGATTTACCTCCAACTTTGATGCACATAGCGATGAGAAGACCAAAGACCTGTTTACTTTAGTCAGGGACAACATGTACATGAAATTGTGCAGGACCCTACAGAAGAAACCAAAGACAACGCAATTAGTAGAACTCAGAGATGTGGTATAAATGTATAATGGGAAGGCAAGACAGCTATTTAGAAGCTATCAAAGCTGGATAGCGACTGAACAAAAATGTATATTAACTGGCACGATAAAATGCAACATATACTCCTTTACATACAAAAACTTGTACACTTTTTCATCATGGTCTAAAGGCAATTTCATTAAAAACAGGTTACGATTCAGTTGTTTTGTACAGGTTTATAATCATATACCATTACTATCATCTAAAAATAGTATGATTTGTGAAATCTTGATCAAAATGCCTGGAAAGATTATGACTAATAATCCAGACAATCCCTATGACAAAAATAAATCTATTACAAAAATGGCCATTTGTTTTATACAGTGCCTCCCAGAAAATCGAAACCAAGAGTTATCAATGTTTTATCATAACCTAATCACAATTATAATTAATAAATGACACATACAGGTATTTGTAGAGCTTAGATCCTCCTCTTTCATTTAATGCAACTCATATCGTCCCTATTTTCAGGAAGTGACGGTAGTGAGGACAATCATCACGCAAATTGAATGCGATTTTCCTCACTACCGTCACTTCGTGAAAATAGGAACGATATATGCATATTTCACGCATGAGTGATTAAAAACAATTTGGAGAGAGTTGGAGAGAATTTCAATGAGAGAAACACATATCTAGAAAGTTCATTTTCTGCTTTAAAGTAATGCTTGCATTTCCATTTGATTAAACAAACTCGTTTTCACTGGCTGCCTGCCGTAGCAACAAGCAGAGTTGACAAAAGACTTAACTCCTTTTTCGTTGACAATCAGCCATGCATTTCCTGATTGAGGTGTCATATGAAAGGGCAGAAAATGAACTTTCTAGAAATGTGATTTTCTTTTTTAGAAAGTCCTAGATAAGGAAAAAAAGTAGGTAGATTGGTCAGGTGCCTTCCTCGGTCATAAAAGCAGCAGCATTAACTGCCACTTCACAAAGCTAAGCTACCTCGGCGAAGTCCGGGTCCAGACATCCACAGTGTACTGCAACTCATGATTATCACTTTGTTCTTGACGCTAAAAAAATCTCATGATAAAATTAGCATATCATGCATATTCATAATCCTTATTAAAATTCAAATGATTTGAATTGTACAGATTAAAACTCATGTGATGAGAGATAAAATTAGTCAAACAAAATTCCCCCCTTTTGAGTAAGAAATTGGGGAAATATTGAGAAAAATAAGGGGAAATTAGGGAAATAAGGGGAAATAGGGGTAAATCGCGAGGAAGATTTTTTAAAAAATTAAAAAACAGAAGAAAAAAAATTGGGGAAAATCCCCAAAATCAGGAAACTGATTTAAATCAGGTAATTATCAGGCCTGCATAATATGAATATTCATGATCTTATTTCATTCAAATGAATTTAGTTGTACAGATTAAAATCTCATGTGATTGCTCCAGACCCACTCTTGAATTTAGGATTGCTCACAAACAGAGATTCACTATCCTCGCTCTCTTCAGATTCTTCAAAATATGTTTGCTGAGGCAAGAATGTTTCATTACGCTTCCACAAATCCCCATCATCATTATCTACTACTGTATCCATGATGACGTCTGTTTCGAAAGGAACTCTAGATCTGTTGAAGAGGGTTGATCCCACAGTTGCATTATCTTCAAAAACCCTATCCTTCTCTTTAGATACCCTCGAGTTAGGATCACACCTTTCCTCTGTTATGCTCTCCGCAACAAATATGGAGTCGGATTCGCTTGTTGCCATGGTGATGGATTTGTCTCGCCTGGCAACATGCTTCTTTGGAGGTGGCCTTCTGCGGGGTGTCCGGGCATCCGAGAGGAATATATCATCCAAGAAAGACATGCTTTCATCTGTCTTTGGACGTGCGGTTGACAATGCATCATCCTTTGATCCTTCCTGCATGGTTTCCTGCTGGGTTATTTCCACTCTCTCGTATACATCTTTATTTTGCTCATCTGTCGATCTCACCACTTTGCTCTTTTTCCCGCAATTTTCAGAAGCAATGGCTCTACTGTGCCTGTTCCCTGCATCCGTCCTGTAGATCTTAGCATCTTCATGACCTGCGACACATTCATCCGAGGAGTCATCATCGAAGAGTTCCTGGTAGACTTCATGACTGACCATACCACCACCACTCCTTCTTTTCCTTCTTCCCTTCTCCATCTCTCTTTCCAACCTTCCAGATTTTGTTCTACTATTACTCCTTTTTACAGATGGGAGTGTTCCTTCCATGTCATCGCTATCAATGTGTGCACTATCATCACTCGAGGTTCCTACAAACTCGAGTCCAACTGCAGCCTTCCTGCGACCTATAGGTGCTACCCCTCGCCTCTTCGCTCTACTCTCCCTTCTACCTTTCCCTCGACCTCGACCCCTAGTCTCAGCCAACGTTGGTTTTGACTTCTCTCCTCTTTCTTTTCCAGTTCCAGTGTTTCCTGATGACTTAGCACTGTTGCTGGGTTGGGTTGGTAGTTTAATGAACTCATCGAAGTCTACGCCATACTTGGATTTGTTGTATGATAGAAGAAGCTTGAGACAGCCCTCATCTGAAAGCCCTTGGATGTGAGTTGCCAGAGCTGAGGGCCTGCTAAAGCCTGCTAGTACTGACGCCATATCCTTGAACTGATCCCTGATATTCAATTGTGACAAAATGAAAAGTACTTACTTTGCATTACCAACAAAAAAAGACAATGTAATACTGTAAAACAAGACACTTGTTCTATCTATTAACATGTACCTCACTATATTACACAGGTAAGGATATAAAGACATTATTCAACTTTCTATTTCTAATTAGTGTAAGAATGATATCAGACTAAATGACTGTCAGGATAAATATATCATTATGCTATGTTTTAAAAAAATTGGGGGGGGGGGGGGGGGGCGGGTCATCTGTGGAAAGAAGAGCATCAAATGTTCCCAATGAGCACCCTATATTAAGAAATGCTATACCATAATCATGATGGACTTAAATGTTTTCTAGAAACAGTTGTGTTACATGCACATGAATATTGTGTGTACAGATCAATAATAAGATGTAGGGCAACTCATTATTTGGAGATAAACATTCAAAATTATTATCCGGTGTATGATATAACAAAGACTTTAATCACCTTCTAACACCGATAGGGGTTTGTCCAACAAGTAAAGTTGTATCTCCCAAGCGATGACTAGTAGCATGCATCCTCCTCCCAGCAGCATTCGGCTTTCGGTGGCTTGTAACGGTTTCCTAGAAATCAAGTGAAGTTTAGGATGTCATATTAAAGGAGATGTTTATTTCATAGGTTGTCTCAAATAAACACAACACAATCACAAAGTAACATTTTGGGGGAAGAAAAAAACCCTCAGACAATTTTAATGGCCTACTATTATGTGCAAATATTACAATGGCCTCTTTTGAAACCTGAATACAATTTTTGAATTTATTGAAAAGACTTCTTGAATTTGTTCCGACATCAGTAGGCAGGTATGCAGTAGAAGTCATACCAAATGATGTTTATTGGTAAAATCACATTAAACAAACTTAAAGGGATCGTTTAACAATGTTAAATCTGAGATACACGGCCCAACGCGTTATCAGTGTCTGTGATATGGTGTAATATTGAAGCTCTAAAAAAATTGCGCTTCAAATGATCAAGAAGTGCCTCAAAAAAGTAAAAATCTTTGAGTGACCGGTTTTACCATACTCTTTTTCCCCAATAGCCTGTAGTGTTATGAAAACCGTCAGGCGAACGGTTTTCAAAATTTGTAATTCCAATCACAAATATCTTGATAATCAGACAAGCGATCGGCTTGTAAAAGTCATGGGGTTCCTGACTGACCTAAAGGTTTATAATTATCATTGCATCATGAGCTAAATCCAGAATTTTGTTTCAGAATCTGAGACAAAGTTACCGGATCCCTTTAATGCGCACAATTGTGTTTCATGTATGTAAGGCTTATGGGGAACCCCTAGCTTGCACAAATAGTGAATCTCTGAGACATTTCTTTTAGAACTATAAAAAAATCTCTTTGTGCCTTTCCTTCTAGAATTCTTGGTTTATATTACAAACAAGGTCACAGAGAGAATTCCACAGACAGCCAGCAGTGAAAAAGAAGCTCTGTCTGGCATACAAGTTTTCATAGCATTCAAGGAGAGGGCATGGAAAGACATAGACAGACTATAACAGGTGTCTCTCTCTGTCATCCATATAGTGGCAGCGTCATGTATTCCAAGTCTTGTGTACAGATAAAAGAAAATACATTGTAGCTGCATGCTTTTTTTACCCCCCAAAATGCAGTAATTTGTGTCTACAGGAGTGACAGTGAGCACTTTTTTTTTTAATGGGGAAAAAATAGAGGTAAAATCAGAATTTAAAAAATATCTGGGAATTTTAATCATTTTTTTTATTTTTTTTTAATCTGGAAAAAAAATTAAAAATTGGCAAACCGATTTAAATTAGTTAATTATCAGGCCTGATCTTTCAATCTCTTTTTTCTCTACTTATTTACCAAGTCTAGTGTGGGAACTTGGCAGTAGGCAGGTTCCTGACTGAACTGGCCCATCTCGACATCCTGCTGGGCCACCTTGCTGACATGGTCCTCAAAACGACTCCCTCCGACAACCTTCTGATTTGAATGCACATACTCCACACCACACCTTTCTGCATAAGAAACAACAGGGGAGTGTTTCACAAAGACTAAGATCGACTTTAAGTTGGACTTGAACTATGACAGGCCACTCATGCCACTGGTTGATCTTCCTATTGGTCTCTCAATTATGGTCTTTAGATAATATTTTTTCCTTCAATAATAAAGTATCAAAGAATGTAAATTCTGTAGATTTGTGACCACGATTTATACGTCCTATACAGAGACCAATGCCAGTAAATGGTAAGAGCAAACAGTGGCATGAGCGGCCTGCCATAGTTAAGTTCAACTTAAAGTTGATCTTAGTCTTTGTGAAACACCCCCCAGGAAGGATAGAGGCTCGTTTAGATATGACGTGGTAAACTGCGGCAAAAAAGCTGGCACTGTATTTTTAAAAGTGTAAATGAATGGCAACTGCATGCTACAAACATTGTGTGCATATTCCATGAGCTCTGTGTTTTAAGATACAGAGTTACAGACATATGAAGCGTATTAAATTTTACATCATCGTATAATTAAGTAAAACCATGGTTTTGCCCTGTCATTGAAATGGGGTTGAAGTTGCAATATTTCACAACAAATATACCAGTGGTTTAAACAATCGCAGAGTACATTTACATGTACATGTAAGTAAATCTGGAGTATACCATGTAATAATGTTTGAAGGAAAATTATTTATTATTTCAGAATAGTCCGAAATAAATTTAGTTTTTGAATATGAATGCCAACTATAATGCACATGATGAGATAAACACAATATGTGACGTATCAGTACTGGTACAATACAGAAAAGTCCATCGAGATAAATGTAACATTGGTAAGAATGTGTACAAATTACTGCACTTTGTTCTGTATAAACCATACATTAAAGGTATAAGTCAGAGCATGAAGGCAATCTTCTGATAATATGATCAAGCCCAATAACCTTTTTCTGACCAGTTTTCTGGAACAGCTAAAACGAAAACCAGTCTGAATCTTAGACTTACTAAACACATCCTCTGCTGTTTTGATGTTGCCACTGTCCATTCGATTAATCCTCAGTGTTCTCACCATCCCTCCATCCTCCTTCCTTCCTCTTTGTGCTCTCTCCATCTCTCCTCTTGTCTCGTCTCCATCTTCATCCTCATGATAATCATCACCATCATCATCATCATCATTATCATCATCCTTGGCACTTGTCCTTGATCTCCTGTGGTCACTGTGGGGGCTGTGTGACCGTCTTCTTGTCTGACCTTTGACCTTCTGAACAGGTTGACCATCCTTCCCAAGAATTGCCTTTCCACGAGCCAGTTTTCTTGGTTGGCCCCTCCGTCCATCTCCTACATCATCATCATCAGTATCATCATGATCATCTTGATTGTTGAACGATGCGTTTTCAAAAGGATAACAGAGAGGGAATGAAGAAAATGCAAACAGTTCAGCATAGAAGCAGGTTGTATTTCCTTCATGTACAATGTAAGGCGAAAAATTGTTGAAAGCAAAGATATGAATGGATGGAGAAGCAATTCAATTCCTAATTTACCCATGTCCCCCTCCAGCCCTAACTGCCCCCCCCCCCCTTTCCCAAAGCCAAAGATAGCTAACTTTACGTAATCTTTAAACAATTGACTGACATATTGAGAGTAAAGTCATACAATCATTGGTATTTCAATCACGCCATTCTCCCAGAGGAAAATATACTAAAAGCTTTACTATTTTTAACCCAATGACTGCGGGAACCGGACTGAGAGAATTTAGTAATCCATCTACTGAAAACAATGAGATTCATTGAGACTATAAACATCATACAATTTTTGGCGGGAATGGAATGTGCAGCTCCTCACCTTTTCTGCGAGGCGTTGTGAATGATGACCTCACTCTGGACTTCCAAGGAGATGTCTTCTTGGAAGAACTCCTATCGTCTTCCTCCTGCATCTCAGAATCGTTACTATGGTTACGAGCATCCTCATCCTCATCCTCGTCCTCATCCTCGACCTCTAGTAACTGTGAATCCATTCCATGGATATCATCATCCTCGTCGTCTTCTTCTCCGGCTTCTCTGGACTCCTCATCACCACCATCGTCCTCTTGGAGAAGCTACAGGAGTCAGGGAGAGCGAGATAATCATGGCTTTAATGTTTGAATGATGGACAGATGGATCAAGGAATGTTCAATTATCTTTTTTTCTGTCTCTGTCCCTCTGTCTTTGTCTGTCTTTGCCTTTGACTTTGTCTCCGTCTCCGTCTCTGTCACCGTCTCCGTCTCTGTCACCGCCTCCCTCTCTCTCTCTCCTTCTATCCCTTTCTCATTCGGATAGAGTCTTTCAAAGCAGTATTTATGATATAAATGTGCTACAAGCATTTTTGTAAATTTCTTTAGTCAAGTCATTGAGACTAAATGAAATGCTATCATGATCTTTTGATAACAATACAAAGCAACTACAGTCAAACCTGTCTATAGCGACCACCCAAGGGAAACACAAAAAGTGGCCTTTGTAGACAGGTGGTCTTTGTAGACAGGTTCCTTTAGTACATGATTCAATGAGAAACCATTTTCAAGGGAAACAACAAATGTGGCCTTTGTAGACAGGTGGTCTTTGTAGACAGGTGGTCACTAAAGCAGGTTTGACTGTATAGATATAAAGAATGGCCTTCTTAGTCTTGGGGGAAAAGAAGAGTGCCAATAAAGCAATATTTTAATAGATTAACAATTCAAAATGTTTTTGTCAAATAGTCTTGTCCCAGCAAAAGAAAACCTACGCTCTGCAGACAGATTTCTTCTTGCAGAGCGTAGAATGTGTAATAATACATGGGGTGAGCATTTATTCCTAGTGGCTCCCGTAAATGTTTGGAATGGCTTTTCATGCTTTATCTCAGCAGCTTGTACCATGGAATCCTTCACAAGGCACATCTTATATTTGAAAAACTAGCCATTCTGACGTAAAAATCAAATGGCTATTGACTAAACACTGCAAACTACTTCTTAAACTATTTAATATTGTTATAACTGTACAAACCACAAGCAGTGCATGTACAGAATTTAAATAATTATGTATTATATTTTGGAGCAGGCGCCATGAGCACCTAGATGGGGCATACCGGTGCCATAGAAGATATCCTTATCATCATAAGGCCTAACAGAAAAAATGTTGTATTGCCCTTTGCGACGGACCCAAAAATCTTGAAATCTACGGTCGGCTTTTTAAAAAAAAGTTTTTTTAAACTTCAGACTGACTGAACCATGTTTTGGTACCTAAAGGGCAATATAATCTTTCTTTTTTTAGGCCATACTATGGATTGGAGTCCAAGTGTAATAAATGTTCTGACCTCATCTAATGAATCCTCTGGTGCTTCCTCGACCGATGTCTGTGGCTTGTACTTGGCCATGGAGATGCCCAGCTCAATCTTCTCTTCTCTCTATGGCAACAATGAATGAAATAGACATTACTTGACACAAAGCAAATTGTCACTTTACATAACATGCATACATTTCAAGGCTATTTAAAGCCTGTCTGCACTAGTTTGGCCAGGAGGGATTAGACCTCCTTGCATGGTCACTTTAATACAGGGGGTTATCTCATCAAATCAGCTCTCAATTAACATAAGAAAAAGGGGATCATGGGGGACCAACGGGTACCACTGAGGCATTGATTGCTATATAGAGAGCGTAGCTATAAGTAGTGCAGTCCTTCTTTAAGTTTTAACCATTTTGTGAATGTTTGTTTAGGCTATTACATGTAGATGACCCAGCACAAGAATTAATGGAAATGAATTTTACTTAGACCCCACGAGCAATGGAATTGTATTCAGGATAGACTGCACAGATAGACAAACAACAAACATGCATATACGGAGACCACACATTTTTAGCCAGCTGCAGACTGATTTTCAATTCAAATTTGACCTGTATCAATATAACCTGTTTATTTATGTATTTCAATTGATGTACCTGTATGTTTATTTCTCTAACTCCTGGGGGGGAGGGGTCACAAAGATCTTATGTTGATCTTAAATCTAAGTATGACATAAAAAATTATGTACATTATTTACAAAGGGGCTTAGAGACTCTCAAGCTCACCTGAATTACATCTTTGGTCAGACAAGACCCGTCCACTCTCAGAGCAAAGAGGTTCTGGAGACCAAAGATCTCCCCCTGCTGGTCCTTGTCCCCGGCTACCGCTGTGAAGTATCGCTTGGCATTCTCTGTTGTCATGGCAACACTGGCTATTTGCTGGTTTTTAAATAGATGGAAAAAATGTCTATTTTAATACACTAGGAAACACTGTAAAGTTGTAGATTATATGTATATTTCATTTTTGTTTAAATATGAAAATGAGCAGAAGTACAGCTTTCAAAAGATCCCATTTACTATTTAGTTTATTTCTAAAAAGAAGCTATTGAAAAAGAAACTATTGGTACAGTTTTGCATCCAAATAATGAGCTCAGGAAGTAAGATGTTGAAAGTTTTATAATGGTTACACAAATAAATGAAGTAAAGTAAAAAATAAAATTTTCTTTTCAAGGTACGACCACAAAATAGTAATTTCATCCTCATTGCTCTTCACGTCTGTGGCCTTTCATCTGAAAAATATATTCCTTCTGAATTCTACAGACATCTTGATTGACACCTGGGGAGTGTTTCACAAAGGCTAAGATCAACTTTAAGTTGGACTTAACTATGGCAGGCCATAGATGTCCCTGACTGCTCTCAGCATTATGATCTTCAGACAATATTTTTTCCTTCAATAATGAATTATCAAAAAATATAAATTCTGTAGATTTGAGACCATGATTTGTACATCCCTTGAGAGACCAATGCCAGTAAATGGTGAGAGCAAACAGTGGCCTGAACGGCCTGCTATAGTTAAGTCCAACTTAAAGTCGATCTTAGTCTTTGTGAAACACTTCCCTGGATGGTGAACAGATTGGCTTTCCTAGTGTTGAGACAAACTCTCACCTGTTTATAGACTTGTCTAAGGTACATATTCTCCTCAATCGATCCCCTAGAGACGAACCTGTACACCCTGACATCGCGATGCTGACCTATGCGGTATGCCCTGTCCTGTGCCTGGAGGTCATAGGTCGGATTCCAGTTGGGGTCAAAGATCACGACGACATTGGCACCCGTCAGATTCAGACCAATACCTCCAGCCCTAAGGCAACCAAGAATAATAAGATACTTTATCAACTTTGACTATTGGTTTGTGGTTTATTTAACAATAGAATCTAACAATGACTTTCCAAATCCTAACGTCCTAATGAAAACAGAGTATTGCTTGGCAGAGAGAAATATGTTGTATTGTTAAGTACAGTAACAAGTCACAATTGGGTCTTGGACCCCAAGAGTTTAAAAGCCAACTTTTCGACAAGAAGTTAATGCAGGCATATATAACCTGAATAACTGTGTACATGATGCTGGAAACAATCCCACAAATATAATGATGTGCACTTATTCAGAAAGAGAGCAATGCATGTTAAAAAATCACATGTATAGTGGAACCTCGGTTTGTGTTATAACAAGGTGATTTTGCTGGTCCCAGCTCTTTATATTCTTTGTTATAACTGGTATATTCTGGTATAACAAGATTCTTGATATAACTAGGTAATTTCCTTGCTTCGAAGGACCTCGTTATATGAGTTTCCACTGTATTAGTAATTTGGCTGAAGCTCTGTAATATTGTGTACCTGAAAAAATATATAGTGTTCATGAAAAGTAGACGTTTGGAACAAATTTAAATTCAGTTTTAAACCCAATGATGAAATAGGTGGTGACATAGAAACTAACAATCATATACAACATGTTTTAACCCTTACTGTACTGGGGGGGGGGGGGGGCTGGGAGGCCCCCCCCCCCTCGACATTTTTGGAGATCGCGCCGCAACCGCTTGGAATTTTGAATTGTTGTTTCATGACTTTTTTCCCTCAAGTCTTACGCACATTTTGATACCATTTCCGTCGAAATCGGATATACCTGTAAGGTGTTACATGACAATTAGTATGCGCATGTCATCAAAAATATGCTATACTTGCATATATTCATGTACAAGCAGAAATGTGAATACTATGAATTGATATCAAATTGCTTTTATATGTTTCTCAAAGTAACTTGATGTATTCCAGAACAAAAGAATACATTAGAAATAAAACAATAGATATAATAAGAAATAAAAAACAATAAAATACAAAAGAAAATAAATATTTGAAAATTGCATCAAATTTGCATAAATTATCATTATTTATCACATTAAAATAACTATTTTGTGTTAGAAAATATGTTTCATATGAATAATGGGTTCAATTAACATTCAAAAAGTGGAGTCTGACAATTTTTGTAATGATTCTAGTTCCCTGTATATTTCTAGATTTGATATTCATGAATGCGTATTCATAATTCATGCAAATTAACCTATGCATTTTCAAATATCATAAAAATAATGTAACCTCATGAATTTGAGATGAAGGAAACATTTATTCAATACATTTTCAACATTCTTCACAAGTCTACAGACAAATGTGAAGAATTCGCTGTAAAATGCATAAAATTAGCATTTTGCATAATTAATTAGGCTATAACGATAAAATTTTGCATATTAGGAAAAAAATAATTATACAATCTTGTTCCTTACGTAAATATCTACAAACATGCAAATTTTCGCGTTCATTGGACTTTTGACGGCCGAGATCATAGGGGGGGGGGGGGCCTCCCAGGCCCCCCCCCCCCCCCAGTCACGAGATGCTCAAAATAGCCCAGTACAGTAAGGGTTAAAGCCCCACTGCACTAGTTTGGCCAGGAGAGATTAGACCTCCCTACATTGTCACTGACAGGTGGTTATCTCGTCAAATCAACTCTTAATTTACACAAGAAAAATAGGATCATGCGGGACCAATGGTCACCGATTGGGCATTGTTTGCTATGTAGAGGGCGCAAGTAGCTATAAATAGTACAGTGGGGCTTTAACTTCTTACTTTGTGGAGATGAGAAAGATGAAGATATCAGGATCCTTGTTGAATTCATGGACCAACTTCTGTCTGTTGTGAGCTGGAGTCTTTCCGTCCAATCTTCGGTACGTGTAGGAGGTAGTCTTCATGAACATCTCCAAAATATCCAATAGCTTGATAAATAAGAGACAAGTATTAAAGCACCTTCGCTGGATGTCTTCTGAAAATGTCTCAAAAATCTCCTCTTTGACCATGATCAACAATAGATTCTTTGATAACTTTTATGTAAAGCGCTGTGAAACAACAATTAGTTTGTAAGAGCGCTATAGAAATGACTTTATTGTATTGTATCAAATAATTTGTTGTTATGAACAAATTTCATTACTTTCATCAAATCACATTAAAATAAGAAGAAATTGACTCACATGTTCTGCACAGAGAAATATAGGTATGTGGGACTATACACAAACATTTGGCGTCAAAGTTTGGTCCAAACTGTTCAGATGTTTCTCCTCAGATATTGAAAAACAGCCCTTTTCACGGTACATTTCTTTTGTGGTATTCTTCCAAACTTCTTCCAAAGCTCACAAATTATTTCTCACCTTTAACAAAACTCTACCTACTCGTGAATAAAACTACTCAAGAATATCGTGATACATTCACAGAACCAACAAAACCAAGAAAAACAAAGAGACTTACTTGAGTATAGCATGAAAACAGCAAGACCTTGCTATTTTCTCTCTTGAAAACTTTCAGTAGTTTTTCCAGGACCTAAAAGAAAGCAACCAAAAGATAGCGGTAGCAGATTTGAATGAATCATATGATTTATATAGAATATATGCACATGAAATATAAAACTGAATTTTAAGGACACTAAACCTTATAGAGACAATTTCAACTTCATTAAAAGAATACTTCTTATTGGTGTCATCTTGTGTCTGTTCTGTATCAGTACTGTATCTAATTGTATGTGTGTACTGTAATTTCAGCATTAATTAGTACACAAAGGGTCAATACAAGGAGTTTCAAGGGAGTTTTGAATCAAACAAGAATGTGGATGTCAACTTTTTCCTGTAACCCTGTATGTTATGATATCTTCACTCTGAAATTCTTTTCATGGGGGGATAAAAAGAATGGAAAAAGCATGGAAATATCAAAAGCATGGAAAATATCAAATGAATGGCAAATTCAAATTTTGTTTTCTCATCTTTTTCTGATTTGAATTATACAATGTATTTTTCTCCTATTCAGTAAATTCTAAAGAGATATTAGGTATTGTAATACCTTTCAAAGTTAAATTGCACAACATCAATTTGCTTCATTGATTGACTGGATTACAAAGTATACAAATAAACACACACCTGCTTTTTCCCACATTATGTTGGGTTTAGAGAGCGTGAAAAATCTTGCCTCTCTGCTCAGCTCCTCAAACCAAGGCTGCTCGACAAATTTGCAATTCATTTTCTCATGTTCTTTTTCCGTCTCAATCATAAATTTTGTTTTTTTCCTATTCAATAAAGTGATATCTTCCCAAGTTCAATTGCACAACATGAATTTGGTTCATTGATTGACTGGATAATAATAATAATAATAGTGGGTTCTTGTTTAGCGCTCATGTCTGTCAAACTCGAGACTCAAAGTGAACGCAGCATGGATTACAAATAATTGTTTTTAAAAACACACCTGCATTTTGCCACAGTACATTGGATCCGAGAGCGTGGCGAACCTTGCCTCTCGGCTAAGCTCCACGAACTGAGGCTGCTTGGCAAAGGCTATCTGACAGTATCGCAGAGACTTCTCCCTCTGCTTCTCGGACTTGGACACATCAGGCATGAGAAGAGCGATGTGATTGGATACTTTGATCAAGAGACTCATGAGGCCAAAGGTCAATGATTTGATACCCTCCCCGCGCTCGTTAACCTGCAATTGATAAAAAGAAAGAATATCTGATGAGCACTTCTTATCGAGTCAAAGCTACATACCCACCGAAACACTTTCAAATGATTAATATCGGTACATGTACGTATAGACATAGATTGTGTCATTTTGAAACAAATGGGGGTGAAAAACCTGACCTTCATATGCAACAAAATAAGTCATGCAGCTGAGAACATACAACAAATTAAAAAAATAGTAAGTAATTGTATTCACTTATCTCCAGATTCATATTTGAATATAATTAGGAAGATTTTACTAAAGAATACACCAATTGAGACTCTTCTCTCTACACTAGTGCTACAACTTGGGAAGCGAATCTCCCAAAATCTGCTCAGCTTAGGAGGCAAGTGAGGAACTAAGAAGTTCTGAACCTCCGATCAGCTAGAGTACCCTCTATCCCTCACTGTCATCAGTGATGCTCACACATTCACGGTTCAGATGAGCAGTTATCTGAGCTTCCACCCACTTTCCCAGATACTATTTGCTTAAACTGATAACATCACCTCATGAACGCTCACTCAGGCTTTCTATTTGTTTCCTGTGTTGCTGGCTATTTGTTTCAATGCTGATTACTGCTGTGTGATGATATGATGGACTCACCTTCAGAGCCATCTATACACAGAGTTTGGCCAACTTGGTTTCACTGGGTCACAATATGGCGTATATTCTTTCGTTTTGTGCTTGTCCAACTCAAACCAGGTTGACCAAACTCTGTGTATAGATGGCTCTGCTTACCTTGTAGCAACAGTGCCCTCTCTTGCGACCGCTTCCACAATCACAGGGGTTCTTCTTTTCAAGGACAAGCTTCATGTCTTGGGATTCTAGGAGAGCTCTATACACGTCTAGCTGAAATGAGCTCAGTGTACAGAATACTACGTTCTCATCTGGTCAAAGGAAGAAATCAAAAGTGATATTTTAGCTGGAGTGATAGTTTTGGGGTGAGATAGTTCACAGAGCTGGTCAAATGTATCTGTAATGAACCTGCAGGAAAAGGGATGGTAGACTCACTTTCATCATCATCACCTTCATCATTGTCATTAAGGTTGTAATCATCATCATCATCCTTATCAACATTATCATCAGAATCTTAAGCTACGGTCTCAAAGGTGCGTTTGTACGAATCTTCATGTTTTTCCATTGTCTTTCCGAATTTCCATTGTCTGAATCTTCCTGTTTTTCCATTGTCTTTCCGAATTTCCATTGTCTGAAAATCGTTTGTACAGCGTTCGTAGCACTTCGTAATGGCAATTGTGACCAAGGGTTTAATCGCCATTGTTTCACCCTTTTCTCCTTCCTCTTCCTCTCCCTCCTCCTCCTCCTTATCCTTCTCCTCCTCCTCCTCCTCATCATCATCACCTTCAACAGCAGTAGAACCATCACAACCCTCATCATCACCATTCTTGTAAACAAAATCACCATAACAATAAAATCATCATCATCTTCCTCCATTATCAAAACTACCACCACCATAATCATCCTCCTTGTCGTTAACTTATAATTATCATCCTCATCATCATCATCATTATTACTATCATCATCATCATCATCACCATTATCATCATCACCATCATCACCATCATCAGCATCACCACCATCATCATCATCCTCATCATCATCACTGCATCACCATCGTCGTCATCATCATCATCATCATCATCATCACCACCATCATCATCATCATCATCATCACCATCATCATTATCATCATCATCACCACCATCATCATCATCATCACCACCATCATCACCACCACCATCATCATCACCATCATCAGCACCATCATCATCATCACCACCATCATCACCATCATCACCACTATCATCATCATCACCATAGTCTTCACCATCATCATCACCATCATCATCACCATCATCATCATCATCATCACCGCATCACCATAGTCATCACCATAGTCATCACCATCATCATCACCATCATCATCACCATCATCATCATCATCATCATCATCACCATCATCACCATCATCACCACCATCATCATCATCATCAACACCACCACCACCATCATCATCATCATCATCACCGCATCACCATAGTCATCACCATAGTAATCACCATCATCATCACCATCATCATCACCATCGTCATCATCATCATCATCATCATCATCATCATCATCATTATTATCATCATCACCATCATCATCATCATCATTATCACCGCATCACCATAGTTATCACCATAGTCATCACCATCATCATCACCATCATCATCATCATCATCACCATCATCATTATCATCATCAGCACCATCATCATCATCATCACCGCATCACCATAGTCATCACCATAGTCATCACCATCATCATCACCATCATTATCATCATCATCACCATCATCATCATCACCATCATCATCAACACCATCACCATCATCATCACCATCATCATCATCATCATCATCATCATCATCATCATCATCATCACCACCACCACCACCACCACCACCACCACCACCACCACCACCACCACCACCACCATCATCATCATCATCATCATAATCATTACCACCACCACCACCACCATCATCATCATCAACATCATCATTATCACCACCACCATCATCATCATCATCACCACCACCATCATCATCATCATCACCATCCCCATCATCACTCAATCATTCATTTATTCTCATCCCTCATGATCACTCTTACCTTTAGACGGCAGCTGGTGAGCAATGATAGATTTTGTTCTTCTGATCATCCACTGTGATCTCTTCGATGCAAACCTCTTGGCCACTGGGAATAAAACAGTTATGTGTTTAAACCTCTATCTTTGATAGGGTAAGGGTGATGTTTTGTTAAATTGCAGCCCAAAGAATAATCAAGATATGTACTTCACTGGGCAGTAATCTTATTCTTGCTGTTCCTCAGTTCCTACAGATTAGATGTAATTGACATTACATTTCAAAAATGTGACTGCCAGTAAAAGGCAAAAAGGCCTCATAATTATAACATATTATCATTTTTTATTTCAGTTAATAACTGCATTGTATTATTCTTGTAATTGTCATCATTCTAACTTTTAAAGAAAGTAAAAGACAAGTATATATAGTTGAGTGGTGAAAGCAAACTGTAAATGTACTGTGGTGGCAGTAGGAATCATGGTGGTGGTGGTAGAAGTGGTAGTCATCATAATAATAAAATGTGTTACCAAATCGAGAAGGACGACGGAAGAATAAAGTGGGTATGGTAAAATCTGTTAGATAATTTTTACCGCTTCAATCTGTTTTTACAAAGATAGCCTGGCTTTTAATATACCTTGCCTAGCATTAGCCAATTCTCTCTTGTTGGCATTATATTTTTGTCCTGCGGTGATGACTTGCTCATAGTCCTGTTTGAATTCTCTCCAGTCTCCCAAGCAGCCTGGATTAGCCCTGAAATACAGAGAACAAAGCAGTTTAACCCTCTAAGAACAGGATTTATCATAAGAGCTGAATTGATCACACTGTGTTCTTCAAATTGGGAACAATAATATTTTTCTTTTATTGCTACACTTTAATGATAATTATAAACCTTTAGGTCAGTCAGGAACCCCATGACTTTTACAAGCCGACCGCCTGTCTGATTATTAAGATATTTATGATCGGTTTTCATAACACTACAGTCTATTGGGGAAAACGAGTATGGTAAAACCAGTCACTCAAAAATTTGAATTTTTTGAGCCACTTCTTGATCATTTTGAAGATTTTTAGGGCTTCAATATAACATCATATCACAGACACTGATTACACGTAGGGCCATGCATCTTAGATTTAACATTGTTAAACGATGCCTTTAACAAGAATAGTTACACAAGAAATACAAGGTGGGTGATGACCTAGCTTACCAGTCCAATACACACCAGAGCTCTCCCATTTTGTTCTGTAGAGCGGTGCCTGTAAGACCATACCTCCGGTTTGTATTCATGTCCTTCAACGCCTGGGTGATGAGGGCGCTAGGCTCCTGCATCAAAACAAAAGATACAATACTGTATCGTATCATAGGAATGAGACCTTAGCTAAGCAAGCTGGATGAAATAGTCTAGATTGAATTTTCCTATATTTGTGGATGATAGAGGCCTATAATTAATGATGAGCCTAGGAGGCACTGGCCCTTAGACTTAGGAGGCGAGTTGGCTTAGTTGGTAAAGTGTCTGCCTTTAAAACCCCCAAAACGTGGGTTTGAATCAAACCACGTACTCCTCCCCTGTTACATGGAGGCCCTGCGTAAAGGAGAGTCACCCGGCATTTTTAGAACCCACTGCACTGTTCATATAAGAGTAGGGGGACACCCCGGTGTAGTGGTTCACCTGCACACCCTGATCAGACCCGAGGGTTACAGTGATTCAGTTCGCTTTTCGCCTCCCAAACTTTTAATTTCTAAAAATAAATGCCCATCTTAAAATTCTCCTCTGCAAGATATATCCAATTCATGAACCCACTTTCACTCTCAATCAGAGATACACATATTCCATACCTTGATTTTGTGAACTTCGTCAACGAAAACAGCATCCCACGAGACTGTGAGCAGGTCGTCCTGTTAAAGTAGAAATGTTAGACATTAACATGTAAATAAATATATAATTAACATTCACAGAGTTTTCAAAAACATTAGGATAGTATATCCCAATGAGAGTGGTTTACACCAAACAAATTTTGAGTTCCAAACAAAGATCCATTCCTCAAAATGATAGTCATATTACATTTAAAACTACTCCCTGTGCATAATCAAATTAATTGAAGTTATCATACAAAGTATTATGAAAAAAAGATATAAGCACAAAGGGAAGGGGAGGCACCGTTCTTACTATATAAATGAAATGTGAATGAACAAGGCCATGCCCTAATTGGGGAGGATTTAGGAGGGGGTTTTCTCCCTGCCCCCCCCCCCATCTTTCTCATTGACTCTTTCCTTTTTTTTTTCTCCATTCAATGGGGAGGGGGCAAATGCCACACCTGTAGCTCCACCAATACATATTTATAATGCCCCTTGCCTTCATAGTCTTACCTGATATAGTCTGTATGTTTCATACGTTGTCAGCACTGCATCCAGTCTGCCTCTCATAGCCCTCCTCAGCGTATCGTCTCTTTCCTTTCCATGGTATCTCCTAAGGACAAACACAAAAACATTGATTTGAAATAGATACCGTTCATGCCTTCTACATGAGGTGATGGTACCCAGCATGGTCCTGCGAAAATGCCTCAGGGTACTTTCCTACCTAAACTCTCAAAATTTAAAACCGCAACCCTAGACTGAACAACATGCATGTAACTAATCCAAACCCTACCCCTAAACCTAACCACAAACCCAATTTCAACCCTAACTCTAAACCCACATAGATGAAATAACACCCAGAGTTATAGTTGCCAGAGAAATCTCAGGTCGCTACACAGGCAAATACATCGTAGCTTTTCAACATAGAGGTTTAGAAAGATGAATGGGAAACCCCATCTCAGATTCAGCTAGCTAACCTTCAAATATTGTTCATTTAGTCGTACAAAAAAAGTTCTATTCATTCCTGAATCTATGGCTTTTAAAATCTAAGTGTGTGGCTGGAATTCCAAAAGAAGAAGATTGATAAAGTTCTGAGTGAGAGTTCGTTAAAAAAAAAAAAAAAATCAAAATCTGGGTCTGGCATTACGGCTTCCTATAATGGCTGCAATTTTACTGGCTACCTTAAAGTCCAGTAATATGTGTAAGATTAATTTTTAGATATTTTGGTTGCAGTCTCAGTAACATGTTCTTTAATAGTTGTTTTAAAAAAGGCAATAGAAATTTTGAAAATCCTGACAACTAATCAACCCTATCAAACTATAACTAAGATCATTTCCAAACACTACCTTGAGGGTGGGTGTCAGTGAGTTTGCAAGCATTGGAATACTTACGCTACAATGCAGTGTGTCCAGGTCTCAAACTCATCCAGCCAGTTATAGAGCACAGAGTTTGGGCAGATGATGAGAAACGTCTTTGGCTTTTTAGAGCTGTATTTCTGTGGAGACTCCTGGAAAGGGAAAGATAAGACTTCCTTCAGATATGACACGGAAAAACCCAAGAAGGTTTTTAAGACGCAAAGTGTAATATAAAGCGTCACATTTCTGTATCTTAGAGCTTAGTGAATACGCGCAGGATTGTTTTTGTTCTTTGTGACAGTTTTCCAGTGTCATAATATATAGGAACGAGCCTTAACATTGCAGCAAAAAGTTTACATTTATTCTGTTTCTTTATATCCAATATGAGAACTATACCTTGTAAAGATAGAATTCATGAAGGAGGTTTATCTTTTGTAAAGTCTACAAATCACCTTAAAAAATAACTTATGTATATATGTAGGTAGAATGTATAAAACCAATTTCAATGAACTTTACCCGGTACCCTATAGGTAAACTGTTATGGTGTATGAAGAAAACAAAGGATAACATAAAACCCAAGAGTACAGGGCTCGCAAGGAATTAAAGTTGGACTTAGGTTCCATGCATGCCTTATAAGATGTTTTGCTGTTCACCAATATTGTATTTAAATTGTAATATCTCTTTTAATATGGCAGTAATATTTTAAGCTAATGTTTTGAATACAGTACAGCCACATGGAATCCCTTACATCAAGAGCAAAATACATTTTGGTAATTGTTACACTTAAAAACTAATACCGGTAGTTTAAACCTCCATGATCGTCTTACATGAATATGTAGTACATGGATCGCCAACTAAAGGGCAATATGAGCCTATCCAGGATGAAGGTTTAAAACCATGAAGAGTCAACTAAACAAAAGACAGTTGTAGCAATCTGCAATACCAAACATGCATAAAGAAGCTTAATTACCTTTTGCAGAAACTCTGGTAACCTTCTCTCCAAGTCTTCTTTACCTCCAGTCAAGCCAAGTAAGGCAGCAATAAATGCAATCACCTACAATGTACAAAACATTAAACATGTCAAATTAACTGTATCAACTTGATAGTCATAAATACGAGTTTTCGGACACTGGAATGTTCTCTATCATGGTGGGGTTTGAAACTGAGAATATGGCGGTAAATTAAAAATACCACTATAAAGTTGTTTTCTCCATTTTACTGTAGAAACATGGGAAAGAGTTCCATATGTACCCCCCGCTTAATAAAAACGAAAACGAAATATCTATATCTATATATTTTATTTCAATTTTAGCGGGGGGTACATATGGAACTCTAGCCGAAATATTGCAATATTTGTCTTGGGAAATTTGTCACATCTTTTTTTATTATTAAAAAAAAAAAAAAAAAAAAAAATCGAAATTGAATTGAATTGAAATGAAATCTTCCTGCTGAATCCTCAAGGGTCCTCCTACCTACCTGGACAGTTTTACCCAGACCCATGTCATCCCCCAGGATGGCTCCACCATCGTTCTTGTAATGGCGGTAGAGGAACCGCACCCCTTCTCTCTGGTAGTCTCTCAAGTATCTGTTGATTGTTCCAGGCACCTGATCAAACAAAGAGAAGCTTGAGTCTTGGTAAAGTGAGATATCAATTGTGAAATTTCCCTTTCTTTTTCTCCTTGTTTGTTCATTAATTTGTTCCCCTCTTTCCTTATGCCATTCCTTCCTTTCTGCATCAAGTTTATTTGTCTGTTCATTTGTTCTTCCATTCATTCATCAATTAATTCATTTATTCATTTGGCAAATCCATAATGATAATATCTTTGGAATATAAATGAAAATAGGGCATATGCTTAGCTGACTGGGAACTGAAAGGGTTGACTTTTTCTTTTTTAATTACTGGTATGTATTTATTCAAACATAATCAATAACTAAAAGAACATTCACAGAAAAATATAAGAATGATTAAAGTGTAAACATTTATTTAAGGGGGGAGGGTGACGCATAAAAAAAATGGGGGGAACAGTAACAAATGCGGTGATTGAAAGGGCTAAAACGATAACCATCTCACACTAGGCAGCACAACCAGGGTAGATAAATAGTGATGATTGTAGAAGAATATATCAGACTAGGAACATTATGGGGAACAAAATTGTCCCCAGTAGCTGTATTTCCAATGTGACTAGGAATATTTTTGAACCACATTCTTTCAATTTCAATTCAATTTCAATTCATTTATTTTCAATTTTTAAACAATGTGAACACAAGGGCAAAATACAGATGACAAATGTTTGTGTAGCCCATGTGCCCATGTCTGTGATTAGTGCTTTCCATTTGTGATTTCAGTTAAATGCCTTAGGGTAACCGTATTTGACAACGTTAAGGCCGCATTATTTTTGGAGAAAAAAAATATCAAAAAGTCTGGGTGCGGCCTTTGCGCAACAACAACAAAATTCAGCGGTCAAAACAGCACTTTCATTTCAACATATGGGACTACAATGACTATACAATGGTACAGGACATTTCTAGAATAACTCCACACATCTTACCGACAATATTTTGTTGCATTGTTGACATGAAGACGAAAATAAACTGCATAACTTATTTTTCTAATAAAATCTGCAGGTAGATCTAGATCTAAGTCTGTACCATTGCATCGCCAAAAAGTAAAAGAAGGGACAGACCGTTACTTACGGAGCTAGCTGCCGTGCAACGCAATTGCGCAGGTCGAGGTCACAATTCCGTACTACACCGCACATTGTAGTAGGGTACCAAATCTGCCTGCGATACAGTACTAGCTTAGAAATCAATGAAGATCTGCTAAATTACGATCATTTTTTAGGTAAACTTCTTGTAAATTTATCAGAATATTGATGAATTTGGTATAAGTTTGCAGCAAAAATAGTGTTCTACAAGGAAATTACGATTATTTTCTTTGGTCCGTTTTTTTTTCCCTTGATTTTTTTCTTTGAAATGTCAAAGTTGGGTATGCGGCGCTGCGGCCTTATTGCCGGCTAATACGGTAATCTGGATTCACTGACCTGTATCAATGGCCTTCTGTCTGGACTAGAGAGGGTCAAAGGTTCTTTGGTACTCATATCAGATTTCCCTGGAAAGTGTGGCTTCTCAACATCCTTATCACTGAAACCTGAAAATGATCAGAGGCAAGTTTCTTGAAACTGTAAGAAGTCTAAGTTCATGGATATTCATTTGAAATGTGTGTAAATGTGTGTTGAATATGTTCCAATATTGGCATAACATGCACATTCTGTAGACCCCAGCCCAGAATACTTCAGTCATCATCGTCAACATTTTAAATTTGTGAATTTGTACACTATCCGTTGCCTGTAAGTGCTACAGATAGAATATTTACATAAATTAACTTTAGGATCAAAGAAAGTATCATATCGACCAATACATGGATTGTGTATGTAATCATGTATATCTGACAAAAGACATACAATTTTTAAACTTGACCACGTTGCCTACTTCCTAATTTTAAACCGTAGGGAGTTTAAATGATACCTTTTTTTTAGAACAGACGTCAAACTGTACAGTCTGAGGTAGTCTCTAAATAAGTAAAAATTACCCACCACCTCAATTCCAGCGCAGTGACCATCCTGGGGCGTCTTTCAAAAGACTGAGATTGACTTTAAGTTGGACTAAACTATTGCAGGCCGTTCTGCCACTGTTTGCGCTCACCATTTTGATCTTTAGATAATATATTTTTTCCTTCAATAATGAACTATCAAAAAAAGTAAATTCTGTAGATTTGTATGTCCCTTGAGAGACCAATGTCAGTATTGGGTGAGAGCAAACAGTGGCATGAACGGCCTGCCATAGTTAAGTCCAACTTAAAGTCAATCTTAGTCTTTGTGAAACACCCCCTGCTTCATTTTCCCCCCTTCTGTGATTAGTTTGTACATAAATCTATACATCACTATTATTGCAGTTTAGTCTTGAGATAATGATATTATGAAGACATTTTTTTCTGGTTGCTGGTATTTTTTTCTGAGAAATAAAAAAGTAGGTGACCAACAGAGATGGGGAACACTCTGTTTCCTGAGTTACCTTCTTCTAAATCAGCAATATCCCAATCATCTCTGGATGTCCTGTCAACATTTGAGGATGTTGCAACTGGTTGATTTATTTTCCTGTCCACGAGAAGAATAAATTATCTATTATGAGATCATTTAAAGACTCAGTATCAAACAATATTTTTAATACTTCACTAAAAAAAAAATATATATATATCTATAAAAATATATATATATCAAGTATATCAAATGTATAAGAAAATAAGCCCTTGCAAGTTGTACCTTTCATCTAAAACAATAGCATTCAAGTCGTGCATCCATAATAAATCCCCATTATTTTCAGATTCCAAATCAACACATCTTGACATGATATTTCAAATCAAATAAGTTGTTTACCATACAATTAGACAGAAAAAAAACTCATTTTAATAATATCTCACCTTGGTTTATCTACTGTTGCACTTTTAGGGACTGCCTTAGCATCACCTCCGAAAGCAACTACCCCCTTACGCTTCTTCACGACAGCAGCGACCCTTGACCCCTTGAGTGTAGTAGTCTTCTTGTCAGGTGGAGTAGAGGTTGGTCTGTTCACTGGTCTTGGGTCATCATACATGTCTGCATACTGAGCTCTTTGATAGTTTATAGAAATAGAATATGAATTAAAATATGATTATCTCTTTCTCTTACTTTCTCATTCTCTCTCTCTCTCTCTCTCTCCATCTCTCTTACTTTCTTTCTCTGTCTCTCTCTCTCTCTCTGTTTATCTCTTTCTCTCTCTTACTTTCTCTCTCTCTCCTCTCTCTCTCTCTTTCTAGCTCTCTCTCTCTCTCTCTCTCTCTCTATCTCTCTACCTATTTCTCTCTCTCTTTCTCTCTCTCTCTACCTCTCTCTCTCTTTCTCTCCCTCTCTCTAACAACTGCCACTCAAAAATAAACTTTGTATACAGATAGGTACTACATCTACATCTAAGGTGATACTGGACAGGACCAATTGGTATATACGTCCAGATTTCGGTGGCATCGCAAACTGTCAACAAACATCACAACTGAGGGTGCAGAGTTCAAAAATAAAAATAAAAATAAAAAGGTGCTTACAGAAATACAGTGGGTTGCAGACATCATCTAACAAACACAATCATTCTAGGAAATAAATGCCCTCATATGTTTCCTACATTTACATAGCGTAAAAGAGAACTTCTGCATCTAGCAAACCACAGCATTTGTATGACCAGAGGATCTAGCGAAACCAAAGCACAAGGAAGAATTCTTCTTACCTAATTCTATCCTCTTCTGAGATGTAATTTAAAAGTGGACTATCAAAGCCTACATCTGGGGCACTGCTCTTCTTACAAGAGTTCTCTGCAGAAAAAAAAAGTGCAATATTACCAACGATAGGAGAATACACATTATTAGTCTACATATATTCTTTTATTGTGAGAATCAGACTTCATGGCTTCCAAATAAATAACACCTTCCATTGAAAATTGTATCAAAATTTATATCCTTCAGATCTAGGGTATGTTTTTTTTTTTAATCAACACAGGGTCTTTGATTTGAAGTGATGAGGCCTGAATTTAAATGTGTAATACATTAAGATCTATAATATTCTCATTTCTCTATTTTTCCTATACTGTTTTTGAGAAAAAAACTTCCACCTATAAAAAAATCACAACTTACAAGGTAAAACATTTACTTTCATTTTTGTATATTATATTATCCAAACAGATAAACAAAGGTAGACAATGATTTGCTTGAATGTTGGCATATGTGTTTATAGATGTAAATTATACTTTTACAAAATTTAAGATCATTACTTGATCGTGTCATCTCCTTAAGGTCCTCAAGGGGGACTAGTTCATTATCCTCTGGCAAGAAGCCCTTGTAATGGACCTCTGCCATCTTGCGTCCGTCCCCATCTTCTTCTATCTTGCGGATGACAGCTTTGTAGAGGGAGCCATCACCGGAAAATGGCGCCATGCATTTGTCTCCAATGGACCATTTTCCTACATCATGGTGTGACAAAGGAGAAGAATCAATAAAAACCGAGTTAAGTCATGTTAATAATGCTTTAACAGCCATTCAATTTGTTTTTGTAGAATCTGTTTTTCTTGAAACAGCAACACTCGCTCATAAACAATAAACTCATCATATTTTATAAATGGCAATATTGTATAGAAATTGAAAGATCAATTTTTAAACATAATGAGAAACTTTCATGATGTTTCTGGCGTCGGAAACTGACTCATTATAATTGTCATCATAGCAATTGATCTACGAAAGAAACCATTTGAACATGACACACACGTAAATAAGCATGTGGGGCACACGTTAAGTTTTCTGATATTTCAACGTTACATTCACTGCGTTAAATCACAAGATACACGTACTAATCATTCACTCATATATACCTTCCATATTTTTCAGTATTTCTGTTGAGAAAATTCATTCACAGGGACCGGAATGACCGGTGTTTCAGGGCATTTCTCGTCATCTCAGCTCAGCTCTCGCGGACTTTGATCAGACGAACTCATGCATTGGTATCGCAGATGGCGCTAGACCTGCTCGACGCTCTGATCCGTCAACAGAGCTATACAGCTACATACAATATTTTGAAGCTTGCGCGAATTTCGTGCACTTTCGTAACCAAGTAGGAGATTAAATGGTGACCTTTATTAATTACCGTAGTCTCTTTCACTCTCAGTAGATAATATAGTGAGCGTATTGGATCAGCCTCTTGTCGGTCTTTGTACTTCTTTCACATCCCTCAATCTCGCTTATTCATCTCATGTCTTACTCTCAATTCTTCTTCACTAGCTAATTATCTCTATCTCTCTCTCTCTCTCCTCTTACAGCATCCCTTTCTCTCATCACTCTACTTGTTTCGCTTCTCTAAATCTCACTCATTCACTTGTTATAATCTATTCATCTCCACTAGCTCTCTCTCCCTCCTCTTTCAGCAACCACTTTCTGCTCTCTCTCTCTCTCTCTCTCTCTCTCTCTCTATTTCTCTCTCTCTTTTTTTTTTTTACTCCATGTCCTTGCTCTCTTCATCCTCCCCTTTCATACATCTATCAAATCAATCTCTTTCTCTCTCTCTCCCTCTCTTTCACTGTCTCTCTCTCTCTCTCTCATTCTCCTTCTCTCCCTCTCCCTCTCTTTCTTCCCCCCCCCCCCCCCCACCTCATTTGTTAAATTCTCATACAAATTCTATATTTTTTCTTTTTGTTCAGTTGAATAAACATAATGATTTTCAACTTTGATCGTCACAATAAAAGTGATATAGTCGAGAAAAAGGAAGAGTATAATACAGTGTATGTACAAACTATAGTGACCTGGATATACATGTATCCACAAAAAATGTTTTATTTGAATGCAATGTTAATTATAGATATAGAGAGCTGTACATTTAGTTTATTTGCATATATTTGTTACGCAATTTATTTGTAGTTTTTCAACAGAGAATCTACATCAAGATCAAATTTCACAAATATGTGACTGTGCAGGTACACTTGAAAAGTATCATTTCAACAGTTAGTAAAACATAGTAAAACTTAGTAAAATTTTGTATTGAGAGCATGCAAGTAATTTCAAATTCAAGTGATTTGTAATCTTAGAGATCAGCATCTCCCACTTAGTTATTTTTAAAAACAAACAAGAACACAATAAGGACTACAATACATGTACACGGAATCAATAAAACACTTGCAAAGAATACTCACGCTCTACATAGACTTCATATGTAGTACATTATCTGAAAAATTCACTCTGCTCAACAATCTTATTATAATCTATGTTAATTTAATTTCAAGTGAGCAACCAAGTGTGCACCATCTCCACTCCTTGGGGAGTATACTGTTCACATGACTTGAGTTATTATCTGTAATCACAATTAAAAGAACAAAATCTATGATTTTATCCTTCTTTATCAATAAGTGATGAAGTCACTATTGCACTTTAACATAACTACGACGCATGCTCATATTGATTATAAAATAGTAGACATATATCTCACAGTGTTCAATTTTATTAACATTTTTATGCACCCTGAAGCACTACAGAGTTTTTTAATGCCTCATCTACCGAAGGCATTATATGTTCCGGCTGTCCGTCTGTCCCACTTTTCGGTACGCTGATAACTCAAGAACCATTGAGTGGACTTTAAACAAGCATGCAAGGATGACCTGGTTAGATTTTGGGTGTTGGGGCTTTGATCGGAACGGAAGATCGGATCGTCACCCTCGCACCTTTGATCGGTATTGACAAACCAGTATTGACAAAGTATCGGTTTATGTTTACAACCATTTTTATGCCGTTAAATGTTAAAAATTGAAAAAATTATAAGAGGAATTTTTATTTTTTTAAATGCCGAAATTGTTCGAGTTTGGGGCTTTCAAATAAATAAAAAACAGGCAAAGATCGGATCATTATAATCCAAAATGGCAGCTCGCATGTTTTATCTCTTCTCTTAGACTAATATTATTAATTTCAGGAGTATGAAAAGACACTTAATATCGACAAACATGGTCTACAACAACTCCAAATGACAAAATAATCCTAGCCATGCTGGGCAGATTTTCTTCTCTTTTTCTACCGATTATTTTCCGATCATTTTTTTCATTGATCGGCAATCAGAATTTATCAGAATTTATTATTTGATTTCACCTGATCCGCCGACGGTCTGCCCCTGATCCGATTATCGGTTACAGGGTTACCTGCCACCCTCTCTACAGGATCATGTACCACAATTGCTTGCTTTGATAATCAGGTGCATGCATGCATGCATACACCTAGAATGTACTTCGACATCAGTTCACTGCTCTCCATCCGACAACCCCATAGTTCCTTCACCTGAAACCCTCTCTACAGAACGATGCATCACCACTACTTCGGTCATCAGGTGTTGTTACCGTCCTAGTGTCTTCTTCCATACTGTGGTCTTCAGCTTCCTCGGTCTTCCTGGCTGCACTTCCTAACTCCTGCCCATCCTCACCATCTCCAGATGATCTTGAGGCGCTCCCAGTCCGAGAAGGACCGGTGCCAGGCTCGCTTGTCGCAACCGGTTCCGATACTTGGGTCTCCTTTTGGCCCTCTCGTTTCCTGGTCCTGGTCTTGGTCCTTGCCCCGAGTTGGTCTCGCAGTGAGTAGGCCCAGCTTAGATCCTCCTCCCACAGAGTAGGCTCAGCTGGGTTCATGTGTACAGCCCTGCTGAAAGATTTGACAGCCTGCAGAAGAAAAACAAATCGCACAGGTAGACAATTAAAGCCCCACCGCACTTGTTTGGCCAGGAGGGATTAGACCACCCAGGGTGGTTACTGACAGGTGGCTATCTCATATACTCAGCTCTCAATTAACGTAAGAAAAAGAGGATCATGGGGACCAATGGTCACCGATTAGGTATTGTTTTCTCTATAGAGGGAGCAAGTATCTACAAGTAGGACAGTGGGGCTTCAAATACATTTGGTTTGATACTTGAGAGGGACAAAGGTGGGTAAAACATCTCGTTTAGGTATGTAAGTATCAAGCAAATGATCAAATATAGGTCCTTTTAAAATTATGAGTCAAGAGCCTTCACCAACTTCCGATTTGCCACAGAGCTCCCAATACAATCAGTAAGTATAAATGTGTCATATAACATCCCTACACACTTCCAAAATGCCCTGGAAATCATCAGTCTGGCTTTAGCTCTGGCAGCCTTTACGAGCACAGTGCACTTCATCCATTTAACACCTGGGACAAGAGAGACAACTGTAGATGAAATGCATTGTCTAAGGGCATATGAACTAGGTAAGATGTAGAGACTTGAAAATCTACACACAATCACTTGCACAAGTTAAGCCATTCATGCAAATCTTGCTGTCTAATAAAAGCACAGGTCAGCCAAATTCATGACCATGACCATCTCTGTGTACAGAATTGGAATCACATTGAATTGTTTTAAATATGTGTACATTCTTGACTAAACTTACATTGTGAACAACAAGTTGTAACGTAAGATGTTCAGTTACAGAAGCATGATTTAGGAGTACAAATACAGTTAAAACTGTCAGCAATCTCCTACCTAATACCAGAATAAAGACAAATATGTTACCATGGTGATTTCTCCAAGCCCAATTTGAGCACGTCCTAATGTCTGGTACGCAACCCACCACTGGGGAGCTAACACTGTGGCTTGCTGTGCTGCTTCAACGGCAGGGAATACCTCATGCAACTCCATCAAAACCTAGAAAAACCCACAAGGGGGATAAACAAAAAATAAAAAAATGATTATTTGTTGTCAATCTGTGTGACAGAGCCATGGTCCTCCCCTCAATTAAACAAATATGTGGACAGCTTTCCCTTTTCTCCAATTAGTACAACACATGGGTGAGGTACCAATCTGTTAGCCTAATAATATGTTCATTATTTTTGTTTAATGCTTGTGTATTGATTCAGCTAAAATCCATTAAACTGCAACATTAAACTGCAACATGCAACAAGTCTCACAAACAATGTATTAGAGTAAGAGTAAAGGTTATGGTCAGGGTTTAGGGTAAGGTTTAGAATCAGGATTAGGCCTTAGGGTAAGGTTAGGGTAGTTGTGTGTACAGATGTTACAGGCTCTGTTTAGGCAAGGAGACATTGATAGAATAATGTTAAACTAAACTATTCAAATGGATGCCACCTTACTTGTGCTTTCATTTCATGTAGATGTTCATTTGCAGGGGTATATTGAAGAGCATCATTCCACTTGTTCAAAGCCTCCCAGAATCTGGAGAAAAGATATAAAACATTTAATGTTTGGATGCTATGAACTAAAATCAATCCCAAGATACCCATTACACATTTAGCTTCTAAAATACAAATGAGTCAAAGACAGATACTTGAAAATATTAACTGTTTCTTATGAAGCGCTTTACCAGTTACAATGTAACCAACCAAAGCTCTTGCAGTATCATTGCATAGTACAGTGAAACTTTCTTTAGCGACTACCTGATTATTAAAGACCACTTTTTTTCTTTTTTTCCCCTTCAATAGTGTTTCTCATTGAATCATGAACTAAAAGAAACTGGCCGTAAAGACCACCTGCATATAAAGATCCCTTGAGTAATTTGTATACATGTACATCTTTCACTGTAAACATGTGACAAATGCTAAGATATTGATAATTACTCAAAAACAGCTAGTATATCAACATGTTCATAATTCATTTTGGATGGATGGATGGATGTATGCCTGTATCTAGATATAAAAAATCACTCATTCAGTGTGCATGCACACATTTGCCTGGGAAAGAAGAACACCAATGGATGTGAAGGAGATAAGCACTATCATCTCATACCTTCCAGCATCTGCCAGTGTCTCTCCTTCAGCTTTCAGGCGTTGACTCTTGCTGGCTGCATCCTCAAGAAGCAAAACCTTCCTTTTCTTGGAGAAAGAATCCCACAGATTGTCTTCATGGTGACCATCTTCTCCTGAGGAATCTTCCTGCAACAATCCGGTCTTACTTTCAAAGTTTGAAGAGGCTTCTTTGGACACCTTCTCACCAACTTTTCTTTTCCATCCAAAACTTGTCATATTTTTTTGTTTGTGTACTTGGGTTTCTTGTGTTCTTTATAACTATAGGCCTACACCTTTATTTTCCTGGAAATAAAATGATTCCATAAAATCAGTATTAGAACATGATCAAGGTAAAGTAACAGTTTACAAGGAAATAAAGTTCTTCCAGATTAGAAGATATTAAACCTTGTCAATCTAGTGTTAATTAAACAAAAAATGAGAAAAGGGCAAATTAACAATTCTAAAAAAATTAGAATTAAAAAAAAAAACATTTCAAGATGAAATTGTAAATTTGGATGTGACTCAATTGTAGAGTCTCACTTTTGGTTAGACTACTTTACCCGAAACAGCCTATTCAAATAATGAAAATGCAGAGAGCTATTATTATTAATAAGTATTAATCATTGAATTAAGGAGCAATTCATTCATTTGATAATGCATAAACATAGGGTAATCAATTCTCACTCATTAAGCAACCAAGAGTTAGAGTAGACTCTCAGATCTCACACTAATGATGGAGTTCCTCATGCTAAAAAGAAATGAATAGTCTGGTCAACATAACAATTAAACCCTATTTGTTACAAAATAAACAAGCACAAGTTTGCCAAATCGGCAGAGGCAAATGGAACGCATTCAAGGTACAGGAAACAGACACTACCCTATAAAAATTGGAAGATTGGGAAAAACTGCTTGTTACTTGTTGCTGTATAAGCTGTAGACCCTAATCCCAATCGCAGCTCCTAAGCTCCTTGGAAGCTAAACCCTGATGTCAACCATGCATCATGTATGATAAAGGTGCCTGCCAAGGCAAAGGTGCTCACTTTTGTATCTTCTTAATTTTATGATCACCATCATGCACACAGTCACAGATGCAGACTGCGCTGCCTGACATTTGACAAGCGACAGACAGACTGCTTACTTAGCTCTCAAGTCTAAAGCCAAATGTATTTTGCCCTATATATTCAGGGATATTTCATCAATCTATAATATCGATCTTAAAATGAATTTCAAGATCGAAAATCGGGTGTAATGATGAATTTGTCTGAGCCAAGCTAATCCGCGCCGATCCTAGTTAGGTTCAGCCAACTCAACGCGCAACTCTGCAAAGTCCCAGCGGGCCGGTGCCGGCGCGGCTAGCTCCGCAGAAGGGTACCATCCGCCGGAACAGTTTGACTTTGCCACTCACAATTTTACTTTTAATAGTTTTAACAGGGTTAAATTAGCATAATTCATCAATTAAATTCCCCTCTTATCAATTAAAATGTAGTTCGCATGTTTTATTGGCAAAATAATGAAATAAACTAAACAAGACGACAGCTACTTACGAAAATCAGGCCAGCTGAGCCAAACCTCAAAGTGATTGATTTAGCTTTTTTAGTATAGCGCCATCTCTTGACGTAATTTAGTGCGGATGCTGGACACGTTCAAATAGAAATTCATGAAAACAAAAAGAGAAATCTCCTTATATTAGCTGATCAATTGGTTTTTAGAAATTTAATTTGAATTTACAAAGGTGGCCCAATTAACACCTTAATCATAACTACATAATAATTTGATCTTCAAAGACCCTCGACATCCTCGACGGAACTTAGGGCAGGTAACACCAGCCGCCCCCCCCCCCCCCCCCCCCCATATAACCACGTACCACTCGATCACACCTAATTGTTTCCAAAATCAAGACAAGAAATTCCTAACATCAAGCCCCTTCCAATTAAGTTAACTATGAACCTGATGGAATTTAAAGCCCCTCTAAAATGTTGGGAGCCCCAAATTTCGCCCAAAATAATGTGAGACGTACATTGATAAAAGAATGCATAATTTTGGTTTTCTGTTGTACTTGCTTTTGCATTCTTTCGCAATATTCCACTTCAAACACATTTGTTTTGAAAATCCTTGCATAAATTTTGTGTTTATAATGACCCTCTTTCACTATTATTAAAAAGTTTTAATGAAATTTTGCCATCGAATTTTGGGGGCTCCCAACCCTTTATTTTAGAGGGGCTTTAAATCCACCCTGAACCGTTGACCTTCTTTTTTTCCTGGGCGTTCAACACAAACAAAGGGGCGGATCTAGCTTTTTGCCAAGGAAGGGGGGGTTGACCAAGTGGCGGATCCAGGATTTTCCAAAAATCAAGATTCAAGATTCAAGATTTTATTGTCCATATAAAATACAGCCATTGGTGTAACAAGTAATATGTAAAACATAATACAACAACTTGGTGTCGTGTGCTGAAAGCCAGAAGGGCGTCAAGACTCTGAAAGAAAAAGACAACAAGACAGTTACAATGTATATGACTTATACATAGCAAGAATTTTAAATACAATTCTGAATCACATCATGAATAAATTCAGGTATGAATATAAATGAGAATATGAAAGTAAAATGGGAGCAGCATCACAATCGAAATGCGAGCAGAAAGAGAAATAAAAAGAGAGCTCATTATCATTATATGCAAAATATGCAGTTTATTTAACATTTTATGCAAGCAGAAAATCGCAAACTTATTGTAATAACTTTTGGGAATTCTTTTATAAGAAAATGGGGAATTTAAAGACTGCAGGGGTAGATGTTTAGTCTAGCCTAAATTAATGCTCACGCAAGGCCAGGGCCAAGTCATACACACATACAATTACAGTCTCTGAGAGAAAGGAGTTATCGAACAATGATTTTTAAGTAACTGATGTTTATTCACAAGAAACATGGTGGTGATATCCAATATATTTACTTGCCACAACCTAATAACAGTTACACTTAACTCACATTTATACTAGTTCTTGCCCTTTGGCTAATTGATGATGCTCCCGAGCAACATCCTCCCAGCTCCAAACTCTAAGTTCTCCCAAAAATCTCTCTGTCTCCAAAACTACCTCGGCCTCAGCTCCAAACTTTTACACACTCCCAAAAACCTCGCCCAAATTAAAGCTAGTCTCCAATTCAGACCTCCCTTTTTAATCGTTTGAGCATCCAATTTCTGTAACACTGCCCCCTCCTTAACTTTGAACGTCTCGTTCAACACTAGGAACTTCAAAACAGGAACCTGTCAGTAAAACAACAATAAAGATAACAAGAAATGTAAAATACTAAATCTAAAAATAACAACATCATTAAAAATGTGAAGCATTAAAAATGTGAAGCATGGAAAACACAGAATAGGAAAACCTGAAAGAAATCATCATAATTTCTAAAGTAGCACATTAGCATGGCACAGTCATTTATAAACATACATAAATTACCTTTGTTTCAGCCTCACAAAACAATTCTTAGGTTGTGGCGAATGCATACATAAAAGCACTTGCAAAATGAGACAAAGCATGCAGCATATGCATCTTACCTGATATCATTGATCGTAAATTTCAAATATCAATACAATAAACTGGACTTCAACCCTCAGTATACCAGAACAAAATACATCATACATGAATATAATTGTTGTTCCACATCAGTCTGGTGACTCTGGTCAACATGTTCAGCCTGTTGCACACTTAAGTAATAATCACTATAGAACAAAAAAAACTGGATATAAACAAAAACACTTTTTTTTTCCCTTTTCAATATCACCTTTAAATATGGCAAAAGTTAAAGGTTATTCTGGTATAACCATCAAGTTTGGTATTCGTCCTCTTTGGTAACAACAAACGGGATATCTCGATTCATTTTAAACTGGTTTGGTTAGCAAAATTAGAGTTGCCAACAACACATAAGTACAACCCTGGAAAAAAAACATAACAATACTCTGAATTTATATGCCAAAGCGGAACGCTCATTTCAACTGCCAATATAGAAGAATTTATACAAAACAAAATTGTTTTTACAAAATAACCTGATCTTGTAAAAACATGATCATGCATGATTGTCCATAGATTTCAAAATGACTTTAAGTCATTAGAAGAAAAAAAAAAAAAAGGGCAAAGCGTCCATTTGTTATTATCTGTTATTACAGAACGGCACAAATCAATTCCACATTTCGAGTTCAGATGAGTTAATCGCTCATCTGTGATTACACCTAATGCGAGAAAGCCACTTCAGTTTTCTCATTCTTTCTACTCTCTTTGATACATCATAGTAATGTGATTTCTACAAATCCTCCTGTATAAGAACACTTAACAATATTTGTGTTTCTCTTCACAAGTTCGATATCGAGGTTCAATGCTAATAACACCAAAATGTTGGTCCCTCAGTTCTACATTCAACTGGTTCATTCGTAAAGTTCAGCAGCACAATGGAATAAGTGTTTGACTCCTTAAGTAAGTTAAGTTCATTTGCATCTCCAAAGTTGCTTCAGCTAAATGAAGTCCTGTCACCAATTATTTGTTCCTCTGATCAATGCAATAAATGAAATTCCACCTATAGTCCATGCAAGTGTTCACTATAAAGGTTTTCAAAGTTTGATGGATTTCGTAAGGCTGCATAAAATTGCATGGCATTATCAAATTGTTCACCATTATAAACAAGAACCGCGTTGCCATGGAGACCAGATACGCTCATCCGACACGTGTTGCCATGGAGACCAGATTTGCTCATCCGACACGTGTTGCCATAGAGACCAGATACGCTCATCCGACACGCGTTGCCATGGAGACCAGATTCGCTCATCCAACACGCGTGAAGATACTTTGGGACGGCATCCCGGCGTCTTGCGGTACTGGCATCTCGCGTCCTGGCTTGAAGCTTCCTCGGTAAGGTACCTCACTATCTGCTCGTCAGGCCTCAGCTACGTGATGGAGAAAATCTGCCATCCAATTCTGGCTTCCAAGTAGATATTTCTGCAACAAAATAACATCTTTTGCAGAAAAAGGTGTACCAGAGTGGTACAACCATATATGCGTATATTAGGTATACACATGCAGAAAATTGGCTTTCATATAAATAGCCGTAATAAGAGAAAATGCAACTAACTAGGTTGTGGCAATATTATTATAAAAACTTATTATAATCTCAGTATACAAAAAAAAAAAAATTCTGCCATATTTGTTTTATAAGCAGTTACACAGCAACTTCACTGAAAATTTCCCACACAGAACTGTGCTGTATCCCTGCTGGAAACAGGTACTGACTTTCAAGCACTCTAGCTCTGCTAATGTGAAAAGAACCAGCTAGTCGTAAGCATAACCATTAAAACCTAACAAACAAGAAATTTAATGAAAACCAAGTCCTTAACCATAACAATATCCTTGATTTAAAATAATAATCCATAACTATGTGTAAATGTAATCCACTACAATTATAGACAATGTGATAACCGTGATACACAGCTGTCAAAGTTACCAGCTAATCCCAACCATATCTATTGGGAGACTTCCTTTGACGATGCTGATGCTCGTGACTGTTTTCTCTCGAGGGTTCTTCATCCAGAGCATCATCAGGTTGTCACACTTGATGTCTCTTGCTGAGCTTGGAATGCTCCTCAGTACTAATTTGTGTTGCTTCGGTAATGAAAGAACAATTATCATCACTTACATGGAGCCAGGGCTCCTTCTGTCCCTTGTACTTGCAAAGACGTTCTCTGTGAACCACTCTTGGTTTACTCCTTTTCGTCAACTGGATCCTGTAGACTACATCGTTTATCTTCTTTAGAACAGAGTAAGGGTCTCACAAGTCTGACATCAATTTAGGTGATACACCTTTCTTCCTTCGAGGATGCCAATATCCGGAATACAGGTCAAGGGCGCAAAACCACTGGGAGCCCGTCAATGCATCTAAGATGTCGTCAATACGAGGAAGCGGGTAAGAATCTTTCTTTGTCACCCGATTCAAACATCGATATTCCACGCAAAAACGCATACTGCCATCTTTCTTAACGAGTACAATCATTGAACCCCATTCTCCTGATGCTGGCTCTATCACTCCTTGAGACTTCATCTCATCAAAAGCTCTGACAGCCTCCTCCCTCTTAGCTAGGGGTAAACTAGGTTCAGCATCACCCGTCTCTATCTTGTGTGCGACTATGCTTGTCTGTCCCAAGTCCATGGATCCCTTGGAGAACAGGTCTTGTCGTCTCAGTAACAACTCCCGCTTTTCTTCTGGTTGTCCCTCAGACAATCCTACGCTGCTTCTTTCAGGCAGCGACCTTAAACGCGGAGCGAACTCGCCTGTGACTTCTCCTGCTTCTCCAACATTTTCCTCTTGAGATTCAACATCAATGACAACATCAACTCGCTCACATTTACCTACACAATTACCTTCTTGTGAAGATTGGGTATGCTGATTCAAAAGTGTCCTGCCAACCATCACCCCTCTGAGGAAGAGTCCTTCTGCTTCTCCACCCAGGGATGTAATGACAGGAGCCTTGCCATTTCTAGCCGTGTTCCGCTCCTCGAACACGACTAGTTGCCGTTTCCCTCTGCCATCATTGAGGCCTCTACTTGCTTTCTCTGAACACTTGGTGATGTCACTGGGCTCTGGTCTCCAACTCTGGCTTCCAGCACCTGCAGACGCCTTTCAATACCCTGCTGTGCTGTGGAAGATCTGTCAAGGTGCGCTATAATTTCAGCCTGGTTACTGACGGCACTTTCCGCAAACTTCTCAAACGCTTGTAGGAGGGCGCCAACTCCTAGAGGACTCGAAAGGCGACCCCTCCCTCTTGTACGCGTACGTGACGAGATCCGTGAGCGATACATGGTTGAGAGTCGATAGTCACTTCAACAACTGTGTATCACCCTAAACCCCTGTTACTTTCATGAGCCTACTCTTGCTTTATTTAGAAGTTTTATAAATGGAAACTATAAGGCTACTGTATTTAAAATCCCTATACAAATTTCACGTCAGGTTCAGTATAGTTTAAACTTTCCCACAATAAAATCCAATGAAGAAGAATATAATCCTAAAGGGGATTAAAATTATTTAATTAGTTAAATGGCAAATAAAACAATCCCATCAAAAGTGACTAAATTTACTACTAAGTTATATCTTAACTTCCCCAAACAAAAGTAGCTTATCGGGTCTGCAAAGCAAGACTAGCTTATCTAGCCTGCGGGACTACCAACTTTCCCTTTGCTCAGCACATGCACTGAAACACCGATCCTAAAACATTACTACACACACACACACACACCACTACAACGCGTTGCTCCCCGTATACACACAGAGCTTTTGCAGTGCAGTGGTGTACGATGCCAATGACAATGAACGTAGGCTACTGCCATTGACCTATCTTAACTTTATACTAGTTACTATATCAAAATATGACTTATTCCCTAACTAGACCTAACAATCTTCTAAAATTCCACCTTTCAAATCCCACTTCTGACACCAGTGTAATAACTTTTGGGAATTCTTTTATAAGAAAATGGGGAATTTAAAGACTGCAGGGGTAGATGTTTAGTCTAGCCTAAATTAATGCTCACGCAAGGCCAGGGCCAAGTCATACACACATACAATTACAGTCTCTGAGAGAAAGGAGTTATCGAACAATGATTTTTAAGTAACTGATGTTTATTCACAAGAAACATGGTGGTGATATCCAATATATTTACTTGCCACAACCTAATAACAGTTACACTTAACTCACATTTATACTAGTTCTTGCCCTTTGGCTAATTGATGATGCTCCCGAGCAACATCCTCCCAGCTCCAAACTCTAAGTTCTCCCAAAAATCTCTCTGTCTCCAAAACTACCTCGGCCTCAGCTCCAAACTTTTACACACTCCCAAAAACCTCGCCCAAATTAAAGCTAGTCTCCAATTCAGACCTCCCTTTTTAATCGTTTGAGCATCCAATTTCTGTAACATTATGTTTCATGAAGTCTCTATTCTTGTATTTTCAAAATACTAATCCTCGACCGATTAAAGATCGAAAATGAGCACCATGAGCGCCATGAGCACCGAAAGGTGGACCTGTGCGCTATACAAGTAGCCACTATTATTATTATTATTATTATTATTATTATTATTATTATTATTATTATTATTATTATTATTATTATTATTATTATTATTATTAAAAGTACTGTAAAACAAAAAAGCTATGCATTTTTGAAAACACTGTTATTCAAGAAAATGAAACATGTTTTATTTGAACTATGTCAAGATGATACGATGTTATTTCAATTGATTATGTATGTTTGTTTGATTTGTTCAAAAGCATATATTTATCAATAAATTAATTTTACAAACAAACAAAAAAATGGAGTGGAGTTGGTGCACATTAAATTTCATGAATTCATTTCAATGCATGTACGCAAACCAGTGGCGGATCCAGGGGGGGGGGGCCGGGGGGCCGCCGCCCCCCCCCCCCCCTTGAGAAAAAAAATCATGTAAAATCAGGTGATTTCTACCTTTTTGGGGGTTGCCCCCCCCCCCCCCCCCTGGCGCTCAAGGGGGGGGGGGGGGTGCAAATTGAATTTTTTTTGAGGATCAAAAAAAAAAAATGTGCTCACTACCCCCCCCCCCCTGATGTAATTACCCAATTAAATAGACTATTGATTCAAGCAAGTCTTTCTTTTTATATCCATATAAGCATCCATATTTTGTGAAAGTGGTGGCGTATGAAGGGTCCAGTTGTTGAGGAGTGACGGGGGGGGGGGGGGGTCAGCCTTAATAGGTAAAAGTAGAAGAAATATGAAAGAAGGAAAGCTTTGTGTAATGGGATGGAGTGTTACAGTGTTAAATACATTTACATTCTCCAACAAATAATTTTACATGCTTTCTATAATCATCTGAAACCAATGTCCCTGTTAACTCATCTGTTATATGTATGATATTGTTTTTAAGTATCATTTACGCTTATTTAGACAGGTTTTCAAGTAAAGCGTTAATATAATCAAAATGCAGATCTACTGATGCAATAAAACTGAACGAGTCTACAATAACCATTGTATCAAAAGGGAATTCATTAAATAAATACATTAAATAGAGTTCGATACACCACTAAAAACCATCTGCATGTTGTATGTACAAGGTGAAAACAGCAGCTGGTAAATGAACTAATGAATATCCAAAGTTATAAATATCTTACTCCATAAGGAGGTCAATGACCTCCTTATTTCCGTGATCTGAAAAGATACAGATACTTTCAATAAACACATGTGTATATCCTGGTCAAGGTTGTTTTAAAACATTCAAGCATTTGGACTATGTGCTCCATCAATGTTTGCTATATATGCAAATACTTTTATATTTTTTGTATATATATTTTTTTAAATTTGACTTGATAATTCTATATGAGTCCTCCGTATGTATCGTATACAAATCACCTATAGCAATTACGTGGTATAGTAATTTAAATGTTTTATAAGTGAATGGTTTGTCGTGAACTAGTCAAAGGCAAGTATATAACTTCATTTGATGCATTTCCTTTGTGTCTACACTAAATTACATGAACCTGAATGTATCAATGTGTTGTAAATGAAGATTGTAAAATGTGAAATATGAACAATAAAATGAAATTGAAAAGAAAAAAGAAAAAAGAAATCGCAACTGTTCTCCCGTTCTTTTCACCCTTTCCTTTTCTTCTTTCTCTTCTTTCTTTCCCCTTCTCTCCTCTTTCCCTTCTTTTCCTTCTCTCTCTCTCTTTTCTTTTTGGCGGGGGGGGGGGGCATTAAGGTCCGCTCGCCCCCTCTCTGGATCAGCGCCTGTGGGGGCTATATTCCAGGCCTGGCAAGAGGGAAGCCCGCCTCTTTCCCGGTAAAAAAAAAAAAAAAACAAAAAAAACACCGTCTTATAATATTATCCCTCTTTTTTTTATTTTCTTTCTCGTTATTCTCCTTTCCCTCCTTTTCTCTCCTCCGTCTTTCCCCCTTTTCTTCCTTTCCGCCTTTTCTCTCCTCTCTCTTCCTCTATCTTCCTTTCCTCCTCCTTTTTCTTCTCTCCCCTTTTTTTCTCCTTCCTTTTTTCTTCTTCTTTCTCTCTTCCGTTTTCTTTCTTTCCCCCTCCTTTTTCTACTTTTCTCCCTTTTTTTACGGGGGGGGGGGGGGGCACGTGCCCCCCTGTGCCCCCTGAATCCGCCACTGCCAGGTTAAATTGTTTGTATCATTTTGCGTGCATGACATTCACAAAATCTTTTAAGAACTTTGAAGAATCGATACCATTTCAATATTCATAATCACTGATTTTATATAAATAGTTAATCAAAATTCAAATTTTCAGGATTTAACTGAAAAAAATTACATCAAATTGCTGCAAAAAAATTGGTGCATCCACACGAAAACATATTACTATCTATATAACTTGGATGCTCGTGTGAGGAAATAACATTCTTGGGGGGGGGGGATAGAATGGGAAATTTATATTATTAAAATAAAGATAAGAATTAGAGGATACAGTGATCGAGGGATTCGAGGCAATGACGTCAAAGACTCATGATTTAGTTGCCAATTTTCAAAGTCTTTTATGTCTTACAAAGTTTATAACTTTCTTATTAGTTATCCGAATTTGCTCAAACTTTTTTGATTGGTTTGTCTGATTTTTCTGCTTCTATTGCAAGTAAGGTAAGCTCCTTCTAAACACAGAATTGTATTTAACTTTGCAATTTCCTTCATTTATGACCAGGGCCAAATCAACGTAAATAATATTAAATCAAACTAAATCAAATCTAATCTAATCAAACGTAGAAATAATTCGAACCACCTGTCAGCTCAGTCGTCATGCATTAGCTGAGCGATATATGAGATTATCATTTGAGTCACGTGACAAATGCCCATAGAAACTGGACGCTCGTCATTGATGGATCGTATGGTTCTTTTTCGGGAGTGATTCTTCATCTTCCACGTTTCTCGTGAAATAGGTCTTTACTTTCGCATTGATTTCTCTACATACTATGGCTTAATGTGAATGGAATGTGACTTGAGGAATTAAAGTAAGATGACAACTGATTATCCGATAAGACCGCCATCGGAACAAGTAAGTTCACAACAAATTCTTGATTTTTTGTTTACCCAACGTTACAGAGAAGCGGATAACGACTAAAAACCTCCCCGAAGCTCTGGGGTCTGTGTTAGTGTCGAAATGAATGTTTTCCGCTGAGGCTATGCACATCCCGCATCCCAAGTTACTCGTAAAACACGTGTGATGATATAGAGTCTACAGGGGTTGTAATTGTATAAACTTCTATTTGTAAAGTTAGACCTTCAACTTTAATGATATCGTGTCCAAAAAGAAAGATTTGTAGACCTGCTTTAACCTATTCAGTCAGTTTACCTTTGAAGTTTGAGTTTGACTCTGACTCTGAGTCTGAGTCTGAGTCTGAGTTGTGGAAAGCAGTTCAGTTCGGCCTTTTGAATTTTTCTGTAGACTAGATCTGAGTTGTAACTCTTTCTTTCTTTTTTATTTTTGGTAATGACCATATAACGCCTTTATAACGGGTCTAACTTAAGCAAGTTAAAATCATAAATCTAATGTTATCTTACATCTAGAATCTAGACCTCTCTAGAGCCTAGATCTCTCTAGAGCCTAGATCTGGACCTACGAAGGGGTGACCAAAGACAGTTCACGGACATTTTAGAACATATTACAAAATGTGCCAATCTATGATTTCTCATATTCTACACAAATTCATTTAGTTCAATTATGACCGAATGGACGGCAAAGTTTTTTTTACTAGGGTCTATAGATTGGTTCAACTAGAAAAAATTTGATGTTCGACCGTGCGTGCGCGTTGCATCTAAAAAAGTCATAAAAACAATGAGACCTTACTTCACGCACGATTTATAAAAAAATGTGATCCATCAAAAATAAGATAATATCATAATTTGCAAGGCAGTATATCATACAAATTATACAATCAGTTGGTACCACTTTTTACTTACAATTTTGAGGATTTCTGCTCTCTATTAAAATGAAGATTTCCAGACCTATTGGTAAGTTGATAATTTTTTGGAACAGACGCAAATAACTGCAAAATTTGCAGATCTTTTGTCAATATTTTCACAATTTAGTTTCTGGGTAATTTTATGATCCTCTTTCCATTGGTGATATCAGATTTTCGAAATTTCACCAATTTCTTGAGTAAGCAAACTTTGGTCACACCACCATACCTCAAGAAATCTCTTTCAAATTTCCAATAACAATGAACATCTCTGAGATAATTAATAGTTATAACTTTATGAGGTTCCTTTGTCAAACTGATCAAAGTCAAGATGTATTGATTGTCTCATCGACAAACTCTGTGATTTAAAAGAAAATACAATAATTTTAAATTTGGTTTCTACCAATATAAAACTTTTCTTTCTTCTCCTCTTTAATACCTTTTTCTTCATGATCTGTCTCTGAATATCAACAGTTGGTTGATCTTCATCTTACCCAGATGTGTGTGTCTGGACAGGTTGTGCATCTTGACAGTTGGTCAAAACCAGCAATTTGTTGCAGTTTACAAGCAATATTTCATGAATTTTCACAACAAATTCTGGATAATTTTTTTTCTTCTAAGACTCATGTTGGACAATAATTATAAAGGATGATTATTCATGATGTTTGGAGCTATTTGATGCAAAGTTTGTGTTTAATCCAAAGGCAAAGGCGACCATTTAATTTTTGTTATTAAAGCATCCAGACACACAACAAGGTCCAAATAAAATGTTGACATGTAATAATATACCTGTAGTTTAAGTTTGAAGTATACCAGCAAATTTTAGATTAACCATCTGCAAACTAGTTTTGAAATGTATACGCCTGTACCGGTACTCTTTAGTTTGGTTTGTAGAGCCCAACTTCATCTATTTTTAAAGCTTTATTTTATTTCTCTGTCCTCTGACATGAACAGTTGGTTGATCTTCATGTGTATCTATTACCAAGAGAAGTATGGAACGAGAAGTATAGCAGTACGTACAATGAATCCATTAGGGAAGCAAGCTCTGCTGGATTTGTCAGGTAAGAAGATTTGAAATAGTTGTATGTCAAATTGATTTTTTTCCCCCCTATATTTGCTTACCAGGTATAGAAAAAAAATTGTATAGGGTCTGAAAAGTGAAAACCATAGAAAAATATTGTCATTCTGAAGTCTGAAGGGAGACAATTTTGTTTAAATAAATAATTTAGATCATCTATCATATCTATGATTTCCTGGGAAAAACTAATGAATAGTTTACAACATGTTATTCACATTTCCTACCAAATCAATGCTGATTATTGCAGCATGTATGTACAGTACATGTAATTGTTGCCCATTTAGATGAAAGATGTAGATTGTAGATGCTTCACAAACAAAACATATTTGCTTTTTAAAAAAAGCAATAACTGCACATTTATTTTTCTGTGTTGCCAGGTAAATTATAGCTTAAAGATCTATGAAGAAAAAAAAGAGTTAATAAAAAGTATTGAATACCCAAAAAGGTGTTTACAAATGTCACAAATTATAGAAAAAGGATTCAAATAAATAAGAAAAATCTAGATTGGGTTTTAATTATGTAAAACAGAGAAACAATCATTGATTTCAGAATTTGAAAAAAGGGATAGTCAATTTGTACCTTTTATTTGTATTTCGGTATGGTACATTTTTAAAGGTTGTTGTCTGATGCATTGTACACTTTGTTTTTAGGGTGTGGCCAGACCTGACAGTATGTGGTTTACGGACTTTGATAGAGGATGAGTTAGGAGATAGTCTACCTCAGAACTATGTATTCCTCCGCAGTGTGGGAAGATGTATGACACAGGTAAGAATTTGTTCCGTTTCAAAGATTCATATATTCATTATATGCATTAATGTACATGTACATGTACAGGTGTATGTCATTTGCCTAACATTTAATCTAATTTGAAGTACCGGTATAACATAAATTTCATCCCACTTTTTCAATTATTTATATTGTTTCTTTCAAACAATTTTCTGTATTTGTAATAATGACATAATGTATGCCTCTGAATTCTAAATTTTTTTTTTTTTAAACCATGTGAATAGGTTTTCTCATACGGTACAAAATACAATCTGTAAAATGCTTTAAGATCTGGACAAAATTTCTATGAATTTGCAACCAATATATGCCAACACAAGTGGATCAAGAGGAGTTCATGTACATGTACATGTACTGGTAATATTCAGAAAGAAAAAATGACACTTATTATTTCATTTATAATTGCAATATGTAATGCAGACCATATACTGTAAGTATGGGGAAAAGGCATTGGGGATAGATGATAGTAATGGATTTGTTTTTCTTTTTATGTATTTACATATTTTTTATTTCATTTGTTTATGTACATGTATTTACATGTATTTAATATTTTTGTTATTATAACACTAGTTTATTATTTATTATTATGATTTTTTTTTTTTTTTTTTTTTTTTTTGGGGGGGGGGGTGAGAAGGAAGTACCTTTTGAATGCATGGTAGCCATTTTAAGTGATCGATTTACAAATAAAACTTGTGCTATAATTATTCATCATATATCATCCTTGACATTTTAGCCATTCAGTATCACCACTGGTGCAATCATCTTCATATTATATGTACATGTATTGATGTTATTAATTTATTAATTTTTTGTTTCCGTTGTCACAATTAGTTTGACCATTTCAATCAGAAACAGTATTATTTGCCTATCCAGAGAAATTAGTAAAACTTGAAAATGTCCTGGCTAGTAGAATTAAATATGGTAGTTTCCTTTGCTGAGGATTTTCTTTTTCTAACATACAGAATTTTAATTACCAAATGTGAAGGTTTCTCAGGCATACGTACATGTACTGTATTTCATATCCTTTGTTCGACTGAATTGATTGAAATTCGAGGTGAACAATATTGTTTGTTTCTCAGGGCTTAGAAATATTTGTGTCAAACTCTTTATACATGTATAGTATGTAAGCATATTTAGCAGCGTTTTTTTTTTTCCTTTCTTTTTCTTCTATTTCTTCTCCTGCTCCTTCTTCTTCTTCTCTTTTTCTTCTTCTCTTTTTCTTCTTCTCTTTTTCTTTTTCTCTATTTTTCCTTTTTCTTTTTCTTTTTCTTCTTCTTCTTCTTCTTCTTCTTCTTCTTCTTCTTCTTCTCCTTCTTCTCCTTCATCTCCTTCTCCTTCTTCTTCTTCTTCTTCTTCTTCTCCTTTTTCTCCTTCTTCTTCTCCTTCTTCTCCTTCTTCTCCTTCATCTCCTTCTTCTCCTTCTTCTTCTTCTTCTTCTTCTTCTTCTTCTTCTTCTTCTTCTCCTTCTCCTTTTTCTCCTCCTTCACCTTCCCCTTCTCCTTCTTCTTCTTATTCTGAGTGTAGATTCAACCATTGAATTCTTTTTTGTTTATTGAAGTTTTGAAGTAGATATAAGATTTATATCCATGATTTAAAAGATTAAACATTAGCCAGCAATATATTTCATATCATATTACAGTATCTAATTACAACCAAGATCTAAGGTCAATTGATTTGAAGCCTACAACATAATGTTCATCATGTACAAGCACTGATTACTCACCAAACTCATATTAATTATCTTCTTTAAGTTAATACAAATATTGCCTCTGGCCAAATCATATTATTTAAACCACTCCAAATAATTGCTTTAAAATAGCCCTGTGCACTTGAGTCAAGTGTCCTAGTCATATGATGAGGCCTCGATCTTTCTATCGATTTTTCCCCACTGGACATCTTAATACAAAGTCCAAATTCTACTCCAGCATCTAATGCACCAGGAAATTGTTGGCTATTAAAGATATACATGTATGATAAACCGGGATTGCATGCATATTTACAAATGTACATCATTACACAACAGAATGCCCCCAAATACAGAAATTAACTGTCATGGGTGAGTGCATTAGTCCCCATATGAACTAGCCGTTGTTTACTGTTGTCATAGTTACAGAGTATACTGCGAGAGAATCATGATCTGTGAATGGCGTGTAACCAAACACAAAGAATTTTAATATCGGAATTGCCTCAGAAATACGGGAGGACTTATACATTGTTTTGCTTGGCTATCGATGCCAGTGCATGCTTCCAACTTCAATTAGAGTGGGCTGCGCTGTCTGTGCATTGTAGATCGATAAGATTGATATTTGTTGATTGTCATGGGAGGAGATATTGTATGGTTCTATTGGAGCAGTAAATTGGTTAAATATGAAATTCATCTCGATGTAAAATGCAGTGGTAGACCTACTGTTGATTTAACAATGAAGAAGTTCATTTAGTAAATGTTGGTACAGTAGTTTTAAACATTCCCTGGCTAAAAATATATTCCAATCATTCAGAGTACTTTTAAAGTGTTTGCAAATGTTTGATTTTTTAAAAATTGAAATATACTTTGGTGCATATGTACAAGACTTGTTGATATATTAACCCTTTGCCCTTTTGGAACCATATGGTTTCTATATTAATCTCAGGGGAGTTATATAATTTAGTAGTCAGCTGATTAATTGATAAATGTTCATACATGTACACTGCAGTTCATCTAAATGTGTTTATTGGCAAGATACTTTCCTTGTCTGAGTTGCTTTGTAGATTATTTATTTAGATTTAAAGATATAGAAATTATGCTTTTATGTACATATAATCTTTACTTTTTTCTTGTAATATGTATGTTAGTGCAAAGTTTGCAAACTATAATTGATAGATACCGGTTCACACAATTTTCCTCTTAATCACAAATAATTTTAATGAACACGTTTTTTTTAAATTTAAGATATTGAATTTTTTTTTTTTAAGTACCCCATAGCAACAGTTCATCCATGTAGCATGTACGTGGATTGGAATACACTAGATATTTACTTTTAATTCTTTCTTTCCATGCTTACTTTGAAAAGTTAGTCAATGTTTACTCTGAAAAGAGAACCTGCTTTTAACAGCTTTTAAATCCACATGTACACTGTCACTCTTCATCTCCAGTTATCCAATAGCTCTTATTTACATACTTGTAGATGGCCACGCTTATTCCATTTATAACTTAAGCTCTTCTTCCTTTAGAACGGCCTTTCAACATATCACTGTGTGGGCCCATTCATAGAATTACCCCCTGAAAGGGCGCATCAGCAGCAAGTGGCCTTTGAAAGGCTTCTTTTGAAAACAAGAAACTCTTCAGTGCCCGATGCGCTCTAGTGGCCTAAGTTTGCTTTCCTATTGTGTCTCTATTGTAAGAACCCAGTCATTTAGGGAAGAACAATCCACTGGTTGTAACTCCTGGGCTATTATTATACTCACACACTGGTGCTAACAGTCGGTTGCTAAGGGGTTAAGGTGAAGTCTGTATACTGATCTAAGGGATACAGTTTAGTGTTAATGATGTGTTACATACAATTAATCATCAAGAGCTCCAAAATGGCACCTAATTAGTACATGTATACCGTACAATTACTTTTGTTTTCCTTTGATACCACACCCTCTATTTCGCCATTCTTTTCTGTTAGGCACAGATGCTCTCCGTGAATTGCTTGTCTTATTGCTTCAAGTCAGTCTTCAGTATATAGTGGAAATTGAGATTGTATTTTTGTATTTATGTACATGTTACAGTATATTTGTAAACCACTGACTAATGATGAGAGCCTGAACAATTAACAAGAATTATAACTTAATCCTTTTGGCTATCCTTGGGTGCTAGTCAGGGGTATTTCTTACTTTCTTTATTTCTTAGATGTTTATTTTTTCTTTTTACTTTGTCTGGAAATTAATTCAATTATTAAGTAAATAAATTGATGAAAATACTTAAAGCTTATCTGCCGTAGTTTATAGGAGGGATAAGACTGCCCTGCAAGGTCACTGGACAGGTGGTTATCTCATCAACTCAGCTCTCAGTTAACATAAGAAAAAGAGGATCATGGGGGACCTATGGTCACCGATTATAGGCATTGTTTGTTATATAGAGGGCGCAAGTAGCTACAAGTAGTGCAGTGGGCCTTTAAGCACAGCCCTATAGCCCTGTGGATGTACATGTACAGTACAAGTCTGCACTAGTGTAACTGGTCAATGATGTTAATTTTTATTGGAACAGCTAATCATTAAATAGAGACCACAATGTGGCCATGTTCATTGATTTGTTGTAAATGTAATTTCCTAGCTCTGGGCATCTTTACGATCGAAGGCTAAACAATGTCAAACCACAACGATAATTAATTTCTTTTCAATTAGGACTGGTCTTTCAATGGCATTTTCTGGGTGTTACCTTCAGACTAGGCAGGTTACTCTGAAAAGCATTGATTAGTCAAGAAACAATTTTGATAGAACATAGATTAAGTTTATAGAGAGCGGTACAGTACAGTACGTCTCCTAAGCAATTCCAGTGCATGTATGTGAAACCGCCATTTGATGTTGAAGTTAAATTCACCAAAGTCATTTATGAGCTTCTTTTAATAAATGGAAGGAAGCGAGTAATAGCAAATTATAAATAAAGAGGGACACAAAATCATGTAGATGCATGTACACATGTAATTGTACAGAATATGAATTTTATTTTAAGGTTCATGTTATGCAAAATCTTAGCAAATTTCCAGGTCAGTTGATGCATATACATGTAGAATAGATTATGAGTTTCCCCTAACTTGAAAATTGTGTTTTGTTTTGTGTTTCAAGATTTAAAATATCACAGAGTCAGGTCTGGTTAAACAAAGCAAAACCTTTCCATTTCTGCATGGGCTACTTTTAAGAAACCATTAAAATTTCATCAAAAAATGTACAGATAAATTAGATTTTACAACAAGCTGAAAAAAATAATCAGAGGCTATCTAGTATAGGTTTCCATGCATGCCAGGTTAGATAAGCAAACCATGAGCACTCTATTTAATTAAACCATAATCAGTTGATATGGCTATTCATACAAAATTTATAACATTTAAGCTACTAATACAGTAACTCCTGTCCTTCGCAATATTGAATACACTGTACGCAGTGCATGCATGCACATCGATTACAAAGTGTCACAGTAATAAAAAACTAATGTTGATCAAGGGTTGGGAGATATGAACCACTGACAGGTAAATGCTAATAGCGTGATATGCAATAAATATATTGCACATTATCGATAAGGTATTCACTCTTTATATTTATGCCATTAGTGTTGCTATGACAACAAATGCAGACACAAATTGTCCTTGAAAGTGGAAATGTTGTATAGTTATGAAATGCATTCACTATATATAGCTCACTCGTAAATATGAAATAAGTACAGGCATGTAGTTCATTGCCACTCATCGTGTAATCGTTTAATGATCCAAAACTGCATGTTTATAAACTTTATAAGCTGACACAGCATCAATAGTAATTACTTTCTGTAAGTAAAATACAAATTAAGACATTTTATCGTAATTTGTCCCTAAATCTTTATGGAGTAAAATCTGGAATTGATTTCTAACTTTGCTAGTGCTGAAGAAATAGAAGCCTTTCTCATACATTTGTAGGTTTGAGGAACACGCTTGGTCCTATATACAGCACACAATTTTTATGTTTTTGGTTATTGTGTTTTACTTTGATAATCAGGCATGCTATTCATCGCATAATTTATGTTCAACCTATACCCAACAAATATAATGACACTGTCATTCATTTCTTTTAAATGTTCAATTTTCTCCTCTTGATTTTTTCACTCTGCATGTGTAGATCAAACCAAGGCAAGAGCTGGAACTGAAATGCAAGGCATTTCTGCCTCCTACAGTAAGTTCAAATAGATATGTACACAAAGTTTATAGAGACATGAAGTTTGTTATAGTGCCAGAAAGGTATTGACTCATGTAGTTTAAAGATGAAGTTGAGTTCTAGTCATGCGATTGCATTGTGAAAGAAATGGTGTGGAATCGACCAGAAAAGGTAGATCATCTAGCATATAAGAATTTGTGTGTATTGCAAGGTTCTGGAATCATCAAAATGATAAGAAATTTGGCCAAGTCTTGGTAAAGTTACAAACACTGTACACAGAAAGATGTATATGGGACTACACAAACACGTGGCGTAAAAATCCGACCCCCGAGTTTTACAATGTTACATGACATATTTAGAATATGAAGGCATTTGAAGAGCTATGCTTTTCAGGGAACATGTCTTATCTGATGTTCTTCCACACTTGCATAATAAGAATGATAACGCTCACAAATTATTTTTCACCTCTTCCCAGAACTCAACCTTCTCTTTAACTAAGAATTAACGCCCTTCTGGCTCCATGCAAACAAAGACATATTTACAGCAGAATTGCTCTTTGGTCTTGTTTATTTTGTGTGCCAGTAACAAAAGAGCATATCATTGATCAAAGTTTATTTAGTGATTAGAGAGTCATGGACATGTACGTGTATGTATAAGATCATTTTCAGACTATTCTCAATCACAATCAATTTAGGATAATAACTATTATAAAAGGTAATGCAAAGTTTTGGAAGTTTTGAAACTTGGATTGATAGTAACTCTTTAAATTTGTTGATACCTTTAATCCATTTTTGTAAAGAAGTATGATGCACATACTGTACACTGTATACTAGTATGTTAAAGCAGTGTCATTTCGGCACACCCGGCCAAATACATTTACATCTGGGGCAAACCGCATCACAACATCAGTGTCCTTTGGCAAGACATTATTCTGTAGTTGCCACTCTCTTGCCAGGTGTACTGAAGCTTTTGATAATTGAGACCTACATGTAATGTATCTCCCAATCTTTTTCAAAATTTTCAAAAAGTGTGCATAAAAGGGATATTATACACTTGTTCTTTTATGATTTAACATTTTCCATACTCACAATTGAATTTTCGGTTCATTGATATGAAAATGAAACAATTTTTGAGAATTTCCTCCATGCTTTCCTTTTGTAGGCATGGGCTCCAGAGATAGTGGTCCTGGAGGCTTCAAGGGACAGCATGAGTGTCCCGATGTACCAATCCTTCCCGGGCTACTCACCCCGACCTAACGCAACTCAGCCGATCAACGGCATCCCTACCCATTTCCCCCAGGTTGCCAATCACGATAGAATGGCGCCATCATCTGATGGTGAGTTGGATAGATTGATGTGTTGATTGATTGATTGATTGATTGATTGATGATAAATTGATTGGTTCAATGCTTGACGACTTTATGGATTGATGAATCCACGGTCACTTACTTGAAGTCTGCAATTACCAATAGAAAGGAAAGTTTACGTTTTGGAGAGTGCTATGTACAATAGTTAATATTTGGGTGGAATTTCAGCTAGCTGCTGACTCTCAGTCTTAATTAACTTTCATTAAAATCAAAACACATTTAATACAACGAATAGATCAATTGGCTACAGAGATATTCTTTCATTGGATGCATGCTGAAAGATTTATTATCAAACTTTTAATGATGAGTGGAAGTGGGGGAGGGGAGTAAGTGTTCAGAGTCAATATATATGATTCTCTTTCCAAGCAGGCTTAGGTAAAGAAAGCAAGATAGTTTTAGAAACCAGTCAGGAAAAGTCACAGGACAAGAGTAGTGCAGACAAGACAAAGATGGCAAAGTCGAAAGAGAAAAAGTTAGCTCGAGGCGACAAAGCCACCTCTAGATTAGCCAAGAAGGGTGAATTCGCAAGACCAGTATTAGGGAACAAGAAAACAGCTGGTACCAAGGCACCTCAGTGTAAGGCTGGACTAGAGAGAACAAAGAGACTCAGACAGGCCCAAGCAGCCTGGTCCAAGGAAGCCAAACGATCAAAGATATCCGAGCTAGCACAGAAGAAAGCGAAAGAGACTTTAGCACCGATTAGGGACAGGAAGGATAGGGTTAGGAAAATAGAGACAGGGTTAGAGAAGGATTTAGGTGGAGGACAGGTTAAAGCCATGAGGAAGACATACAGTGGTAGGAGAATAGGAGGAAAGATGGGCCAGGAGTCCACAAGAACTTCTCAAAGACAACAGGGTAGGGTGATTGAGATACCATTCAGTATAAAGGCAGATAGACTAGGCAGGTTACCTCTAGATAGGACAGTGCAGACTTCAGGTATTTATATCGGTAAGGAAACAAGCTAAGGATTAATTAGTAATAGGAGCTAGGTGTTTTAAGATAGGCATTAAATTAAAAATTATCAATTCAGAGTCCCTCCTTTAATTGAACCTGCTGTGGTAATTGTAATGTTTTCCAACAGCTATAGGTGTCTCTTGTCCACAGCCTTAAACAAAATTCATGTTCTGTAATGAAATGTATTAAACTTCTGACTGCTCTGACAATGTGTACATCACATTTACTAGCATATCTTTCAAAAATACCTTTCAAAGTTTTTTTTGGAAAAAAAAAACTTTCAAAATTTCCAAACTGTCATCAAGTACTATTACAATAAATAGGGTACTATATTTCTTATTTCTCTCTTTATCTTGTGGTTGAAAAGTGAGGAAATTACACGTATGGTTTGGTCCTAATACTGGTAAGACCTATATTCACAAAAGTGTTTGAAAAGAGTGCTAGCACATATACATCAATATTTGAAGTGGTTTGATTCATGTGATGATTCATGTCATAGAGATAAAGTTCAAGTAGATATTAAGTTCTGAAAATGTTATCTGTTTAAGTAAACAGTGTGTACATGATAGTAGGTACATGTAATCATGTTACTATATCTGTACACCATGACCTTTAATACTACAATGCAACGTGTTGAACATGATATTCAAAAACAGGCTGGTTATATACTGGGAATGAAACACCAACAAAGTAATGCAGGGCTCCCACTTAGCCGAGTTGGAGCCTCTAGTTGTGGCGAGCTGGCGCGAGCTTATGGCAAGCCATTTTATCTTTAAAACATATTTCTTGATATCATTATGTTTTAATGATAAAGCCATCAGCTCGCGCCAGCTCGCCACAACTAGAGGCTCCAACTCGGCTAAGTGGGAGCCCTGCATTAACTTTGTTGGTGTTTCATTCCCAGTATATAACCAGCCTGTTTTTGAATATCATGTTCAACACGTTATCATGTTCAACACGTTATCACAACTAGAGGCTCCAACTCGCCTAAGTGGGAGCCCTGCTTTAGAGAGAGAAAGCATCCAAAACACTTTTTCACTATTATAAAAGGAATTTATATTAACGTACTGTATTTCTATTCAGTATATATCTCTGCACTCTGAATACAGCTAAGATGCATTGGATTGTTATATACCAGAATTTAGGCTTGCCTTTAATAATCAATTGAAGGGGAGAAAAGTAAAAGATTTTGATTGATAAAGGATTTGTTTATGAGCATGCAGTTGAGCAGACTGGTGGATCAGAATTACATATCACAACCATTCATGACACTTTTCACGAAGCAGCAGTCATCAAAAGACAATTAATACACCTGTTCATCCACTATGCAATCTACACTCATTTGCAATTTTAATATGCATTGCATACCTTTCATTTAATATGAATTTTGATCATCAAAAGGTTGAATTCACAAAAGTTGATTGTGTATTTTTAGCCCATTGTTAAAACCTCCATAAGGGGAGGATTAAACCATGATTTAGGACATGGTTTGATTTTAAACCTCTTTTGTGAATTCAACCACATTATCCGCTGAGAGCCAATGCATTCATATACATTTTGTTAATAAAGAGGTAACATCATTCCAGCCCTCAGCAGACAATGTATGCTTGTACCATTGGTGGTGGGTCCTAATAAAAGCATGCATAAATTACACTTTCAACTAATTTTAAGTGATATATGTCATCTCTTTAGAGCCAAAAGCATATTATGTAACTCTTAATATTTAACACAGTTAGCACCCCTCTGGCTCCCAAGAAACAATACATTCTCTGTATCTCTCTTCGCAAAGAGGAAAAGGGGGCCACATTTCTTCAGATCTATAAATTATAATTGCAATTAATAATTGTTCACGATTTTGATGAGATTCTTTTTCAATGATGACCATTTGACAAAATGTTTGCCTATTTTGTTTGATTTGTCCTCTTGCATGCTCGCACATACATGTATTTTGTCAGACTTGCATGCGTGGTTGGCCATTATTTCACATTACTTTCACATTATTTTCTTGCTTACATGCATGGGAATTTGCATCTATACACATGGTCATGTTCATATGTGTTTTGTCTAATGTTATTTATTTGTCTTTTTTCTGTGGGAATGGGGGAAAATCTTTGGAAATCAACTTATTTGTTACTTGCCAAAAAGAGGAATGCAAAAATAAACAATAAAAGACTGTTTATTTATTATTATTATTATTTTTTTTAATTAATTAATTAATTAATTTATTTTATTTTTTTTTTGGGGGGGGGGGGGGGTTCTCATTATAAACAGTGCCAAAAAAATTCTTGAAAAGAATGTTTGATCTGTATTTTAAAGAAAACAGAAATAAAATTCTGTATGTGTCTCATTGCATGGATTTTTATTTGTTTTGTTTGTTCAGCTATATTTGCATGCATTACACTTTTCTTTCCTTTATTTCTTGTGCATGCAGTTGCTTTATATATTGTTTCGATTTTGTTGCAATTTTATGTATCACTCAGGTATGATTGTACCGTCACAACACAACACTCACCCTCCATTGGTGGCAGGGGACTCTCCCACAATGCATTCTACTTCCATCCCAGGTCAAAGGTTACCCCCGTCTTCCAACCACCACCCCTACCCCCCTCCACAACCTTATCCCACACACAATCCAAACCTGACTAACAGTTCTGCTGATTCAGCTCAACGTTCTAATCAAAATCATCCTGTAGCTGTTCCTCATGATAGTAACTATGACTCTAGACGCATGGACAATCCTAACACATCCGCTAACAACTCAGCTTCTTTCAAAACAGTTCAGCCTTTACCCCTTATTGCTCATCACACATATGATGTGCTTGTAGTCAAGTCCCAAAGTGGGTCTCGCCCACAACATTCAACCCTCAAGAACACTAAGAAATCCCACCCCGTTTCCTCTAACCCGGCAGATCCATCTGACACCCAGTCTAATTCAGACGATGATACTAACCAAGTTGTTGCAGATGTTGCAAGCCCCACTAACAAGCGCACCACTAATAATGCATCCCCCGCCGGGAAGGATGTCGCTCAAGACACCGCACCCGCAACCACCGGTCTCCACCACCACCACACTAACAACCTCCACCACCACCACCACCTCCGCAACAACATTCACCAGTCTGGCTCTCGTAGACTGTCTCATAACGATCCTAACAGTGTGTCGTTCCCTGCACCCCTGAGTGCCACGCCCCCTGATACGCCAACCTCTGACCCCCCACCCCCAGGTCAGAGTCCCATGGTGCAGCAGCAGCAGCAGCAGCAGGGGTACAAGGGTGACCCCCTCGGGTCGGGTCGCCCTGATGCTTACACCAACAGCACAAACGAGGACTCCGGCATAGCAGAACCCACACCGGATGATGATGATGATCCAGACTATGAAAGGTAGAATTAGCAACATTTTTATTAGTATCATTTAAAATAATGAACTAATCATGTTACTTTTTGTTTTTGCTTTAAAAAATATAATTGCCCAAATTTCACTGTTTTTCTCCTTCTCTATCATATTGGCTATATTTTCCCCTTCAATATGGTTACCTGAGAAAGTCCTATATCAATGAAGCAATAACTACATCACAATTGTACATAATTATAAAGTATGTTAGGTTTAAAGAGAGGGAAAAAAAAAACCTTTAAAGCTTATCTGCCATAGTTTACAGGAGGGATTAAATCGCCCTGCAATGTCACTGGACAGGTGGTTATCTCATCAACTCAGCTCTCAGTTAACATAAGAAAAAGAGGATCATGGGGGACCAATGGTCACCGATTTGGCATTGTTTGTTATATAGAGGGCGCCAGTAGCTACAAGTAGTGCAGTGGGCCTTTAAATGATTTTTTTTTCCACACTGTTTAAAAGACATTTGCTTCTTGCAAATGTTAAATGGTTGGTGTAGATGTGTTAGCCAGAGTGGTAAGGTATCTCAGCAAATACACAAACACTTTATGAACATGAGGTATTGACACACAATACACATGGACTCATGTACGTGTCTATTTTGCAACCTGTATACCTCGGGTAAGGGTGCATGATTTCAATTTTTTTCATTTTGATTTTTGCTTTGACATTTCAGAAGAAAATCTGATACTGATGATCCATACTACAACCAACTCCATCCTGATCAAACACAAAATAGACAATTCCAACAAACTGAAAGAAGCTGGGACGAATCAGATAGATATCAAGAAAAAGAGAAAGAAGAAGAGAGGCAAAGACAAGCAGAGATCCAGCAAAGAGAAGAAGAGAGAAGGGAAGAGGAAGAGAGAATAGAAGTAGAGAGACAAAGAGAAGAAGAGAGGAGAGAAGTAGAGAGGCAGAGAGAGGAAGAGAGAAGAGAACATGATAGAAAGTTGGAGCAGAAAAGACAGGAGGAGGTCAAGAAACAAAGGCAGAGGGAGATGGAGGAGAGAAAAAAGGAGGAAGAAAAGATGAAAGAAGAAATGAAGGAGAAAGAGGCGGAGAGACAGCGGGGTATCGCTGAGAGGGAACGAGCAGCGGCTTTCGATAGTTCAATGCCCTTGAGTGAGGGGGAGGAGGAGTACAATGATGCGACTATTGCCATGGAAACTAACCAAGCCCCGGACGGCCGAGGGCACTTCCTAAACGATGAGCAGATGAGGAGGCGAGCGGAAGACGAGTTGGAGGACTATGAACCCCAGTCGACATGGAGGCAGGATGGAGGCGGAGAAACGGCGGGGCACCCCCGACATCCTGGGAGCAGGAGGAATAGATCTAGGGAGGATACCGAGATGGAGATGGCATCACAGCAAGCCGTACAGGATGGTTTGAAAAGGGTGCATCTCACGCCAGAGGTTCACAGGAAAGCAAAGGTATACATGCTTTTAAATCTTTTATTAACTAGTCATATCTGTAGTTGCCATGGCAATAAATGTGAACAAATTTGACACTTTGACACCTGGACAATCAATATTAATATCCAGTTGCTCTCTATACAAATTACAAAGTTGCTCTTTATGCCACATTCATGTTATACATGTAGCTGTTCATATAGCATTGGCCTTGGGGACGCGGCATAAATTTGTATAAATTGCTGTTGTGTAGATTGTCGATTGACTTTTCCTGGAACTGAGGGCATTACAAGTTGATTAGTAAGTACCAAATGCTTGACTGTGTAACTGCTTTTGTGGAAAAGCCTTGGTAGGCCTACATTTATGCAAATATTCTTTTTGGTACTACACATCAAAAATATAAAGGTAAAGGATATTTTTATCATTACAGAAAGAGCATACATGTACATGCTCTAAAACTTGAGGCTTTACAATGTTGTTTTAATCTGAAAGGGGTATAATTGGTGCATACATGTACATGTATATACATATGTAATTGTCTAGGTCCATATGAAATGAAGTCTATTTCTATGTTCCTCTTCTTATTCTTTTAGATTGGGAAGATAAGAAACAGCAGCATAACAGACGAGGAAGACATCTATGAAACAGACCCAGAGAGTAAGTTCAAAGCAATTTAAATTTGGGTTTGAAATAGTACTGGGGGTGTTTCACAAAACTTGTCATCAGTGACAAATGACAGTTTTTGTTATAAGCTACTGAAATCCTTGCTTCTGATTGGTTATCAGCATATTTGTCACTAATTTCTGTCATTTGTCATTGAAAGAAGGCTTTGTGAAACAAGTCCCTGTTCTGTTGTAGAGATTTTTGATGTCATATATCATATATGTACTCTGCAAGAGCTATCATAACGAGGAAGAGCTCTCCTTACTGGGTCTTAATTAAATATTATATTTCATATTCTAGTTTCCTTTAAAAAAGTAATTCCAAGCATCTACTTGTAGAGGCCTCTAAACAAAGAGTAGAAGCTAGAGCACACATGGTTATGTCATTCATCTTGAGTATTTGTAAATTGAATCTCTCTTTCATTGCTAGCTTTCAGATACAATAATGTCCTTGGACAAGGCAATAATCTAAATTTGCCACTCCATACCCAGGAGAGAAATGTGGACTTGGGACCCGTTTCACAAAGCCTTTTTTCAATGACAAATGACAAAAATCAGTGTCAAATCTGCTGATAAACACTCAGAATCAAGGATTTTACTAGCTTATAACAAAAACTGTATTTTTCACTGATGACAAGTTTTGTGAAATGGGGCCCTGATAGGATGACAAAAGCCTTTGTATTGGTAATTGCCATAGCCCTCACGGTGACCATATGGTAGGTATACTCCCCAGGGAGTGGAGATGGTGCGAATTGTGCATGAATGAATCCGATTACAAGGATAATAATATCTGTAAAGCGCCAAGGGAGATATCTTGTATTAAGCGCTATATAAATCCAGATTATTATCTTTAGATGTTTAGATGGTGGTTAATTCATACAGGAATTACTGACACCATTTTTTTCCAGCACTAATTGAAAACCTTGGATGTATTGTAAAGCTAATGAAAATGATGATTAAATTTTTGAATTGCTACATTCTTAGAAAAAAATTAGTTACATTTGATATATTATGTCGATATTGCCAGTGATCGTTAATCATTTATTTTAAATTTTACTCCTCTTAATTTGACAGTTCCCTCTACTGAGGAGTCGGGTATAGAATTAATTTCAGTATCGACTAGCTTATTATGCATGCTTGCCATCTCGTGTTTGTTTTGCTTTATTAGAGCTTGGATGAATACGATTCATAATCTTGCGTTTGTGTGAGGTGCATGAATATTATAGAGTGGCTATTTCATCAACTTATTTTTTCCTAGTGTTGTTTCTAGCATGGCTATTTCTGTCATACAATCAGAAATGATGTGGATGACCATTTATTTGAAATCATACATTGTCTGTCTGTCCTGTATTCCATTGCCATGTTTATTTTGTTATTACTTTTTTTGGTGTCACTTTTAAATACACAAGGTATGTTGATGAGAAAAAAGGCCACTTTTAAACTTGAAAATGTGAATCATGCAGCCAACATTGTTGCAATTATATACATGTACATGTGTATATAAGTGCTTAATAATTTGTTCTTTTCTATTGCTAGGGTTAATAATATTAAACTTTAATTTCTCTGTTTTACATTATAGTGGCAGATCTTTTACAACAACTTCAAGTAGCAAGGCAAGAGAGAGTGAAGAAAGAGAAAGAGAGAGAAAACTTGATCAAAAGGGCCAAGGATCTTCAGACAAAGACTCATGAAAGGAGAAATAGATGTGAGTATTTTATAACCAATATCTTTGTAAAGTTGTTCAAAATTTATCATATTAGTAGAACTAGAAGCCAGTTTGTATTTAATGTGTAACTATGTATTTAATCATCATTAAATCATGATCAATTATTTAAAAATTTGATGGGTAAAAAAAGTGGTCATAAACATGTATTTAAGCCCTGCTTAGCTCAGTAAACATTATTAGGTGTGTTTTGTTTATTTATTGTGCAATGGTAATTGTTTTTATCTTATGTGCAGCAAGTCTAAAACTACACTTTGACGCATTTTAATGGAAAATCCAAGGTACTTTTCTATTGTGCAATTTTGTGAATTTGGTTTAATTTATACTTGCAAAAATATTCACTATTTAAAAAATTAACAATGAACATTCTTTTGTAAAAGTGTACTATATGGTGATCTGTAAATTGCTCACTGAAAAAAGTGCAAGTAGACCGTATTTGTCCATTCTTTCAAAGCAAGACTTTTCTGTGAAAATCAACAAGTGAAAAATACACAAAAAGCTTTAGAGTTGATTGAATGTTTGTATCCTTTGAAGTTTGCCTCGCACTTTACTTAGCAACCATTTTAGCACCTGCCCAAGACGTACATCCTTTCTATCTTGTGTCCTTCATAACTTTCTTCTTGAGAGAAAAAGAGAGATCTTTCTTATCAGGCCTGTCCTCATCAGCTCAAGATTGCCAAATATCCCACTATTTGGCAATCTCGAGCTGATGAAAACAGACCTATTGACTTTGAACTGTGGCCAATGGCCTCCCACTCTGCAACGCTGTTTAATTGGAAGAAAAAAAGGGAAGAAATAGTCTTGACAATTCTTTAGAATGCACTGATAGAACCACACCTGCTGCCAATAGATGGATGCTTTTTCAATCCTGAAAAGTTGTTTTGCACTGTTATAAGCAACGTTCATTATCACCCTGCGAATAATTGATTTGTAGTTTGATACTGCGGAAACCATTTGCTTTTTAGTCTAAATTGTGAATTAATTCTTTGCCACGTGTACGTACATGTATGCTAGCTATGCTATTTTAAGTATATTCTTTGGGATAGTGTTAGAAATGCTTCCTTTGGGTAAATTGTGACAAAAAACGTGTATGTGATCTTTCTTTGGAATATTCCTGTGAAAATTGACACTTTTGCCAGGGTTCTATCGTGTTATCCTCACCAACTACTCTTGTAACATCGGAAAAACACTCTTCTTGCAATTGCGGGGACTTGAATGGAAGTGCCTTTCAATTGCATTATTGATTAATCGGCAGCTTTCTTGCTGTCTTTGTGCGCTGTTATTGATCAGGCATTGGTGCAGACACGATGGAGGTGTATGCGCTCAACCGCAAAGTATTGCACCTACCGGTATCATTGGGATGGCTTCCTGCCTCCCTGTGGGCTGAGCAAAAAGAATTATGAGTTGCTTTGACAGGAAGGATATAAATATGATATGTTTTTTATCAATCATGAAGATATTGACACCTGCTTTTGAAAGGCATATCATATACGCTAGAGTGTGGGAAAAAATTGCTACTATTTCTGTCTCTCAAGCTTTCACTCCTACTTTATTCTCTCTCTCCTCTTTATATCCGGTGCGCAACGCTGTCTAAAGCAGCCCAGTAAATCTTCAATACAGCAATAAAATTAATTCTTTTTATGGTGTTCAACAATCAATCCAATCCATGTATTGAAGTCCTAAAAGATGACTTTGTGAAGAGTTAATTGTCATGTTGTGTTAGCAATTTTTAGTGAGGATTCATGCATTTTTGTTCATTCTGTAATTAAATTCTGGGTTCAGCTGAACACAAATTAACTTTCAGTCCAGGAAAAACAATATTTACATTTTTTTATTTATTTATTTGTTTTTGTTTTGTTTTGTTTTTTTTTTTTTTTTTTGGGGGGGGTACTTTTCAAGCTTGCTTGCATAAAAATAACACTCTTTAATTTGTTTTGCATTGAACTCTATGCAAATTTTGGGGGGCTCTTTTATGACTTTCGGGGGCTCTTTTTGGCATTTCAGGGGCAAATTTGCCCTGAGCCCCGTGTATTTTTTCCCTGTTTCAGTCATTACTTGTGAACGAAAACCTTTCAAGAGGCTCTGAGCACGATCAAATCCCACAACTTTCAACCACCATCTGGTGGCATCCATCTCCCTCTCCTCCCCTTCCATGTACAACACCAAACAAACACCTCCTGGACGATTGTTAGGTGTCTCTCCTATTGATTCTGTGGCCTACCGTTTTCCTTTGTCTAGACCACATTGATTGGACTGCACAAACACTTTGAGATTTGACAAGGTTACCCCTTGTAAATTGCTTGGCTCTTTAACGACTTAGAGGAGATTCTTTGGCGTGAAAGGGATGGAACATGAATGATATATCTTGTTGGTATTGTGACAAACATTTTTTCGTGAATGCAGCCCAATTGGGTTATTGTGAGATCTTGTAGATTTTTCTCACTCGAGATGCTATTGAGAGTATTTAAACTGAAAGTGAAATCAATTGATTTTCATTTTATTGGGAAGGTAAGGGGAGAGCACCCCATCTGGTATTATACTCTTTGAATTACGACAATGTTTCTCTTTCTCTCTCTTCCTCTCTTTCTCTCTATTTTATTTGTTCTAGCCATGTTTTTCTCTGGCTGAAGTAAAAAAACATTTTTTAGTGTCACCTGGTGACGTAGACACAAATACAAAGTGTATCGAGTTATCGAGTACATTAAATACATATCCACGTAGGACCATAATAAAGTGTTTACTTTTGGGGTTGAATCCATTTGTGCTGGCTTATAAATTAGGTATTTTCAAAATATTTCATAATTATCATTGTACCGTGATTTGTTTTTTCCTTTGTTTTACTCATTTTACCTAATATTTCTTACAGCAAACACAAATTTTTTACTCTGGTTTGAGAAGTCAAAAAATTGTAAGGAAGAGCTGCATTTTACTTCTCTTATAATTGATAGATAATGTCAATTATAAATCATTTTCACTGCATTTTTTCTCCATTCAGCTTTTGCAATTGAGTTCATTTTTGCTTTCTTTTTCTTCTTTTCGAAGTACAATATGAATAAACACAAGTTATAGAATTATTTCAAATGTCCTGCACCTGCTTCACTCTATTTCCTGCCTATTTATCCTTTAGCGCTGAATGAATCCAGACCAAGGTCCAATAGTGTAACTCCAGACCTAGCCACTCGTCGTAAGTCTTCTGAAATGAAATTGCTTTATTTTGCTCATGCACTTCACCTTTTGCTTGCATCCTCTCACATTAAGTCTCATAGTAGCTGTAGATTTGATTTTCTTTCCTTCTACTTTGGATTTGATCCAGTGTAATACCACTTCTTCTATTAACAGTAATAAAATGTGTAACTACTTACCGTATGTAAACTGATTCATGTCTTTGCTGTGAGAACTTTTCTTTTTTTTAATATTTGTTTTTAGTAATTGTAGTATTGCAACCCATTCTAAATACTTGCATGTATTATCTATACTTGAAATGATCTGGTAGTGATAAACATTAAAAAGCTACTTTATTAGATTCTTTGAGTAATGAAGCATAAAACTGCATGCAAAGAATTCTGCCCTCGGAATATGATTGGACCAACATACACAAATTCATCCATAATCTTGACTCCTTTAAAACTAACACTATTTTCACCCTAATTCAATATTGGATTATACAACTGATTTTTATGAGATACCAGTTGCGATGTACAACATTGTACAGAAATGTCACTTCAGCAAAGTATATGGAGACAGACAAAGAGAGAGAGAGAGAGAGAGAGAGAGGGGGAGGGGAGAACCAAGAGAGCAAACTTAACACCCCTGCTCCTTTGTCAATATAGGCATTGATCCTAATTTATGATTAAAAGAACAGATTTATCACATACCAGTAATGACTTCCGTCATTGCTGCCTGCCATCATTAGGTTATGTCATGTACGGAAATGTCACTTACTTAAGCAAAGTTTGTAGAGAGAGAGAGAGAGAGAGAGAGAGAGAGACAAGAGAGCAAACTCCATATAGGCATCTCTATTATCAATATAGACATAACCTAATCGTCAATGGCAACCTGAATAAACAATGGCTTATCGATTGTTTGTGATGCTGTGTACATTTCATGAGCCTTGGGGCAGCTAGGAAGAATAAATTCGGTTGGATTGAGATTAATTAGTGATATCGAATTTGGAGCCAACAAAGAGAAAAGCGTAACCCAGGCATCAATTTACTCATCAACTATTTCATTACAGCCTTTCACCATCTAATCAAGCTAATTGATAATAATAATTTTATTAATGCTAGATCGCTTCTATATAGGCAAAGTAATGAGAGTAGCTATTTGGACAGCATATTGCTTACATATCTGTAGTTATGTATACCGGTAGTGGTGTACAATTATTTCTTATTTTTAATAGAAAGTGTGAAAACAGTAGGCCTATGATGAAATGAGGTTCTGCATCTCAGATATTTTTCTTCAAATTAATAACATTGATGTTAAAACACTGGAAACAGGATGTACGTATGGAAATCACACACAGCCATAATTGAAATAAACTATAAAATGTGCATCAAATCATTGATATTCATACTCGTGTTCTGGTATATATAAAATTTATGCAATACTAATAATTGCTAGTTGCAAGTACATGAATGTGTAAAGTTTGAAAGTGCTTTAAATGTAGATTTTGTAGAATATACACTTGAGATCTACTTGAGATCTACTTGTAGCTGAAAATTTGATTGATGTTTTAATTTTGAATTAATAATTAGGATACCAACTTTGATGTGTGTTTTTCTCTGATAATTTTCTGATATTAAATATTTTGTTGTTGCTGTTTTTATCCTATTTATCTCTTTCATGCCAATTATGTATGTTTGTACATTCGAGCATGTCTGAACTTACAATAATTTTCTGGGCCTTTGTGCTATTTGTGTACCCATTGCCAGTTGATAGTATTACAACTATTTTCATGTTCGAGATATCCATGTAGCCTAATTTACATGGTTTTGATGTGCCTTGTTTATGAAAACACATTGACTATTTTGGAGTATAAGAAAAATTTCATTTTGAATGATTATTATTATTATTATTATTTATTAGGCCAATCATAAAAGCACAATACAAATACATTTTGACAGATCATACAATACATAAACAATACAAGAGGAAAAGGGAGGGATCAACGTGTGGGCCAGGGCTCACAACACACTATTACCCGTAGGCATGTGAGCCCTCACATGTTGCATGATTACAGTCCAAGATATCTTTTCATACATTTTTTCTTGTGTGTATGTGGGTTTTAGTATCAAGGAGTATATAGTAAATGATCAGGGGAATGACATTACATCAGGGAAGCTTTTGAGGCTTCTGTTTGAAGTGCCAAGTTTTGGTAGTAATAGCCTGTTAAACCCTAAAAAGAAAAATTAATCTAAGTCGCAAGAGAGATAGATATTGTTAGGTGTAGATACCAGATTCCAATTACCGGTAGCTTTAAATGGTCCTTCATAATAACAAACACGTTTCTAGACTTTCTCAATGTCATTGTACTGACATGTAGGAGACTATAGGAGACTATAGGAGAGATGAATACTCCAAAAGAGAACTTATATGAGATGAATAGATTTTGACTATTATTAAAGTCACATCTTGGGACAGATGCCTTGCAAATACAACTAATTTTATATATCTTAATAAGTGGAAGGAAAAGCATTGGTTAGGGGAAAAAAGAGCTCGTATTTAGGATAATGAAATGATCCCTCTAAATTAATTAATCAGTAACTTTATTTTTTCTTGACTGTTCCTGTAGCTCGCGATTACTGGAAGAAGCGCTACTATGACGAGAAGAAGAAGACGGCACCAATGGAAGAGCAAGTCAGTCGTGTGAGGAACCAGCTGGACCAGATGCATCGTAAACTACTCAGCCACATAGAGGGCGGCAAGAAGAAAGGTGCCTCCGTCAAGGGCCCACCCTCCAAAAAGGTGTGAAAGATCTCACAAAATCTTGCCAAGGGGAATCAACCTTTTAACCATTTAACTGCTATTGGCTTAACACATGTTCATACCTCCGTGCTACATCATTTTTGTACTGTTCAAAAACTGTACACAAAAAGGCCAGATTTTTTTTGAAAGAGCGCCAGCTACTGTTCAAGACCTGTATAACGTCATTGCAGTGGTAATTACACAGTAGGGCTAGGCATTATGCAGTGCTACGGTCTTGAAAGTGCAATGCCCTAAGCACGTACATGTACAAGGTACGCACAGGCATGCGAGAGAGAGAACATACGGTCCGCAGTCAAGTGGTTAAGGCTTGTTCAGATATGATGCGATAAACAGCCGCAAAAAAAAATTGCAGCACTTTTTTAAACGTGTAAATAAATAGTAACTGCATGCAATGAAGGACTTTCGCGTGGTCATTGAGCTGTGTTATAAGATATAGAAGTGTGACATTACCTCATTATAAAAACTTGCTGTGGTTTTGTCGCGTCATATCTAAACAAGGCGTTAGTCTGGTAATAAAATAGATGTTTTGTACATGATATAGTGTGGGTAACATAATTTTGAATAATTCTCTCTTACTGTACTGCAGTGTGAATTACTCTACATTTATTGATATTGTGATCTTACACCTGTAGAAGAGTAATGTGAAAGGAGTTCCATGGCAGAGTCGCCACCCCAAAAATCTCAATCTTCATATATCAACCTGTGAAATGATTGAACATCATGTTTTTAAAAAAGTTATGCCATATCTTTATATCCATATCAATTCTCTCATACTAAGATTGGCTCAGGTGGAAGACCAAGATTCTTATATTTTAAATTAGTCCTATGGCACATCCATATAGTACCTGTGACAGTGATGGTGTCAGTGAGATCCAAGCCCGGTGAAATCTGTACACTGTACAGGCAAACAGAATGGCTGCCTGGGTGGTGTTTCACAAAGATCCTCAGTTGAAGCTATCTCTAAGTTGGACTTAACTATTACTGAAAGCCGTTAATTAGCACCATTGAAAATGTTTCTTAAAAGTTATTTCAAAAGGCATAACATGTTGATTAAAATCATTCTTATTTTCTATTATCAAAGAAATTTTATGTTCTTGATGTGGAATTTATGAAAAGTCGAAAATACTTCAATTTTTGCTTTTGGAAATATTTAATTTTAAGGCTACAAATGGCTCTCCATAATAATAAAATCCAACTTAGAGTTAAGTCCTACTTAGGGTCTTTGTGAAGCACCCCCTAGTTGCCAGGACTTGTAGTTTAGGCAATCGCAGTGACATTACACCAACCTGAAGAAATTAATCATCAAGTGTCTTATGTACCCTTCATCGTTGTTTTTTCTTTCAGAATGACCACAAGATCAACATCTTGAAGATGCAGCATGAGCTGGAGGAAATCAAGAGAAAGGTGGACAAATCTAGGATGAAACTCACCTCAGAAATCAAAGTTAGTGTACCCATCATCTGGTTGTTGCTGCTGCTGCTGTTGTTGGTATTAGGAAGAACTAGGGAGAATATGGAGATTTTTCGTTAATTTATAATTATTGTAGAGGATTATTCAAAGTAAATGAAATTCAGATAAAGGTATAGACCAGTTCGGGTCATGCGATTGCATTGTGAAAGAAATGTTGTGGAATCGATCAGAAAAGGTTGATCATCTAAGATATAAGTATTGGTGTGTACTGCGAGGTTCTGGAATCATCAAAATGATGAGAAATTTGGCCCAGTCTTGGTAAAGTTACAAGCACTGTACACAGAGAGATGTATATGGGACTACGCGATATATCTATCCAGGCCTGACGGATATGACATTTAACAAATATATCAATTAGTAGGCGGTTTCCCAGCAAAATTTGTATCATCACGTATAAGTAAAAACATATTCTCTCACATGATTGGTCATAATTAGAGCTGATCCATTTCATTTTTTGAGAGGGGGGCATTTCCAAAACTGGTCTATACCTTTAACAAAACTATTTCATGATATTCCCTCTTGCTTTCACAGCTACGCAATCAAGCAGAGGAGGAGGTCAGAGGACTGAAGAGCGAGGTCACACAACGCAAGATCAACACAACCTTGATCAGGAATCAGAAACTAGCTGCACTGAAGATGGGGGACCACAAACTCCTCTCAAAGACCCCCATTCCAGCCCTGGGCAAGGGACCCCTGTCCTTGTCTGCCAAGCGATGATTGAGGTAGGGAGGGAGCAACATATCGAAAAGAAAAGAAAAACATCTCCAGGGGTTGTGTAAAACAGTTTACAGTAGGTACTTAAATTGGCCAGGGACCTCTTTCCATCATGTCTGCTAAAGCGATGAGGAAGGGAGCAGCAGATTCTGAATGAAAGAAAAAAAAATAGGGCTGTCCAGGGGACTGTTGCATTATACTTACCATTGATGGTAACTTTGTTAACAATGGCAACTACCATGGTAACAGGGCTCAACAGCCAATCAAAATCAAGGTTTCCATGGTAGTTAACATTGATGGCTAAGTTACCATCAATGGTAAGTTTTGTGCAACGGGCCCAGAACCGTTTACAGTGGGTATTTAGTAGTACTAGAAGTCATTATGGCGACTGCGTGTTAAGTCTATGGGGAAAAAATTCAGGAGCCAATGAAACAAATGTTCAGAAACATTTTTTTTATTTTATTGTGTACAAGAAATGGAAGCGAAATTATGGAGATGACGCTCTTTTAACACGTATGTCCACGGTGGGACGTGGAGTACCATAGTAGTCTTGGGGAATTCATTTTTGGGGGATCGTGTACAAAATGAATGGAAGTTATTTATGGAGCAGAAATTCTTTTTAAGGTGTATGTCAATGGTGGGACATCATCAAATTTTTACCCCTCTCACTCTCCATCAAATATATACCTCTCTCCTTCTTCAGCGAATACATACCACTCTTCATTCATTGAATTATTACCCCTCTCCCTCTCCATCTCCATCAAATACATACCTCTCTTCATGTTTTATTTGATCTTAGACATGTGGATGAACGATGAATAATTTGAATTGTATTTAACCCGTTGACTACTGAATTGTACAGGTCCCATAGGCTTAGCATGGGGACCACCAGGTTCCCGTAAGCAAAGGGTTAAGTCAAGGAGTTAACAAGGTAATCTTGTCATATTTTTGTAAATGAAGAAATTGTAGCGTTACAGTAAAAAGTGAAATACTAAAATTCAGTTCATTGGATTCAGATTAAAATTCACTTCAAATATAAACGTCAATTCATTTCAAATGAAAACGTCAAGAAAATCAGGCAGGTAACACAAGGTTCATCTAATATACATGAAAGAAATGCCAAAACATTCACTCTGAGACACTTGAGTTGGTGGAAGGTTAGATTTTAATTGAAGACACAAAACAGCCTCTGTAGAAGCACAAGAGTAAAAGCAATGTAAATTAAAACATCATAAAATTCAAATAACCAATTACATAATTTTATACTTCAAGATCTGAATCAACAAATAATCATCACTATTATTTCCATGATTTCAATGAATAGGTTAAAATAAATATATTATATATCATTTCTACAGTTACTGCCGAAGGACAGGTTACTTTTCATTTCACATAATGCCTTACATCACTTATAAGTAAATCCCAGATTTAAAATAAAAGACTACATACGTTATCACACACAGACACGTAAAGGCACACACCCTCCCAGATACACTCACACACACATGCCTGGGACTTCAATTTAAAATATATAATATATAATATAAGTTTATACACTGTCTAGTAGAGATGAATAGTTGATTACACTTGCATTTCTACAGTTGAGACTTATACCTCAAGCCCAACATGCTCCAAAGATTTCATACTGGTGTTTAGTAGACCAGACATAAACTGTATTGTTTAGGACCTCCACTTACGAGTTTAGGACCTCAACTTACGAATTTAGGAATTCATTCATTTCATTGTTTTATTTTTCCAAATCATTAAAAAAATTAAATCATACAATTACAAATACAATTCATGTACAGTAACATAATAGATAAGGAAAAAAAAGAAACCAAAAAAAAGTAGAAGCTTGTGGTTGATAAGTTCCCTCAGTACATTATCATAATAAAAATGTGTACATAAATGAAAAGTAAGAAAATATTCAAAAATTACACTTACACTACATACAAAACTGACAATCATCAATGATAAATTACCACACACATCCACGCATACAATAGATCAAGTAGTAATGAAACGGTCTTTACCATGGTTAGTTAATTCATCGGTCATTTCCCCCAAGAAAATTCCTGTACTGATCAGAGCTCCCTTACCGTTATCTACATAGATGATTGAATCTGTATCAAGTTAAAGTTAAAGTTCAGTTAACCAAATATATAATTGCTGAGGGAGGTGGGGAGCCGGTGAGCATTCACCAAAGGAATTTTCACAGCCTCGTCAAGTGATATATTCAGGAAATTCATAAATTCAGGTACTAGAGCTGAAGAGTTTATTTCACGTCCAATACAAAATTTACAACAATATAAAATTCAAATGCATCGTGAGGAATATGGAACTGGTGTGATTATTATCACACCATCCTTTACATCAAATTGTCGAAAATGGACGAAGGGATGACCTTCTCACATCCTATCGTAGAAGACATGTGGTTCCTTGATATATTCTGCCTTTGGTAGGTTACTTCTTTGACCGAATTTTCCTTAGAAAGCATTCAGACAAATCTTTGCCACTGCTCTTAGACCTTTATTGATTTTAATGGAATCATGATCTAAACAAATGCCTTCATTTTCGTAGTAGACTAGATATTTCACATGACTTTTTCTGGATCCTAGAAGAATCAACGGTTGTATTGTCAATAGTTGTACAGTCCAAAGGCCACCCACTAGACTCCTGCTTTAACTTCAGAAATAAGTTACCATAGTCTGTGAACAATCCGCCCTTCTTCTTTACATCGTACTCAAGTTCAAGTTCAAATGAGGTTTTATTCAAGACTTGTCAAAAAGCTCAAAGACTAAAAATGCAAGTTTACATCAAAAATACAATCATATAAAAAAAAGCATCCAAAAACATATATACAAATGAATAAAAGTTTACATCAAAACATCAAAGCAGTAACAAACAAAAAAACAAACAAAATGATGCAAACAAAATCCAAGATATAAAATATTGCTAGCAAAAATGAATAAATGTTTACATCAAAACAAATAAAATGTTTACAGATACGTGAATTTAATTAACTGTAACTCAATTTGTCTAAGTGCCAAACCTCAAAGATTTTCCTATTCAACACCATGAGGCTGTATAGCCCTGACCTCCCCCTGGCCAGCTAGGAAGGTCTAATTCCGCTTCCAGACCTCTCTGGGCATTCTCCTTTCCAATGTCCTTTCTGGCCACAATAAAAACATGCTGAGGACAAACCTCGCCAGAGTCCACCAGTTTGGGATCGGCCCCTCCTTTTTTCCATCACCTCCTCGAGTAAATTTTGTAACCACTTGACCGATTCAGGGGTTGGCAGCATCCTCCCCTCGTAGGGGTTTTCGTTGGAGGTCCTTCCCTCCCGAGGAGATCGTTTCAGAGCCCGGTCTTGAGTCTCGTCCCTAACGGTACTGTGGCGTTCTGGACTGGGCTGTGTACCCTTTGTGAAGAGGCCAGGGAATATGAGATCTGCTTCATGTCTGTACTCCGGGTGGTAGACTCTATAATGGCCGATTATGTACCACCTCTTTGTGTAGGTGTAAGGACATCTATTGCAGTAGAAAGTCAGACCCGAAGACATAGATGATGCCATTTTGTAACTGTAAGAAGATAAAAAAATGTTTTGACTCTTCAGTTCAAAGTTTGAGGTAACTAATGAGAATCGTTAACGTCCTTGGTTTCAAGAACAAATATAATTTTTTTTAAAGCGTCATGCTTGGAGACTGAGAATTGGTCATGTGGTATAAGTCAACCAATGGTGTACTGAAACAAAATCATAAGTTTGAATTGGATCCTTGTCCTATCATTGGTTTTAACAACAAATATAAACGTTACCTGCAAACCTACTTTATAAATATAAAAGTTATTTGTAAAGCTTCATATGGTACATGTCATATGAGGCTGGACAACAGTATTATTCTAACTATGAAGGAAGATATTGATTCGAGAGAGAGATAGAGAGAGAGAAAGAGAGAGAGAGAAAGAGAGAGAGAGAGAGAGAGAGATCTTACCTGATCAAAACTGAAGCTTATGAGACTGTTCACATTCATGAAACAAAAACTTCTGTCAGAATCTTTCTTCTCCACCTTACACTGTACCGGTACTCCCTGTAGAATGATAAGACTTGTTTCCAAATCATGCATTCGCTTCCAACTTTGCTAAACTGATATGTTTAGTGATATGTCTGGTAGCTGGTCGATGAATCGATCCCATTCTTTCACTTTGAAACTCATACCAACAGGTGTCATTATTATCACACCATCCTTTTCAGCAAGTTGTCAAAAATGGGAGAAGTGATGTCTCTCTATAAATAAACATTCATTTTGCGCCCAATCCCAAAATCAATGAATTCCACACGATTCCAATGCTACCTCCACGTCCCACAATTGACATAAGTGTTAAAAGAACGTCAGCTCCATAATTTTGCTTCCGTCCATCATGTATACAATCCAAAAAACCATATGTTTCTGAGCATTTGATCTCATCGACCCCTGCAGTACTCAAGGATTTTTCTCCCACAGATAATAACACAAGGTCGCCATAATGACTTCTAGTACTACTGTATTTGTAGATCAGGAAGGTTTCGTGTGTGTGTATATATAGGCAAGGGTCCCATGGAATATGTAAAAATGCAATTACCTTGATAGTATCATGTGTGTCGGTACCACCTTTGTGGACATTTAATTAAAGAGATCGATGCGCATATACCGGTATACTCAGCCTTTTTGTATGTTTACACAGATGGGGTATATATTTTTATAATTTTGCAAACACATGGGAAACATATTAATAATTAGAAATGATGTTACATGTCTTTCTTCTCACAAAGTTGAAATTATATGTTGAGATCACCTATACACATCTTGGATGTACTCGTATGAACCCAAACATCTATCAGAAACATAAGTGGCAAAATAAATGGCAATCTAATTGAGTCCCTCTTTCCTGATTTTCCCATGTAATGAATTTTGAGTGGGATGGTATTGAACAAAAATGTTGATGATATCAAGCTTTTATAAAATATAAGAGAGTACCGGTAATGAATTATCACCTTGAAATATAATCATATTGTATGTACATTTTTATTATGGCTTACGTGTCAACTCGTGCATTCTATTCTTACAATGTACGCATTTAATATACATTAATTCATGAAACCTTGTACAAAAGGTCACAATGCATAATGCAGGATAATGCACAATGTATAATGCAGAATATAAATCGTATTGAAGAATGTTTATTTGTTTGCAGTCTTTAGGATGTGACATGTATGAGTCTTTTAGTTTGAATATTATCAGGACTTTTTTAATGAGAATAGAAATATTGTGCATTGAATTTATAAGGACTAATTTATATTATATGTTATAATCATATTCATGAATCTGTTAATAATTCATTTTATAGTACATTTAAATGCCAAAGCAATATGTTACTTGCGCTTTCATTGTAATTGTGTAATCTTAGCTTTTGCGAAATATTTCTTATACTTTCATCAGTCACAAATTTCTGCAAGTTATCTTAAAAGTGCATTTTTCAATTTATCATTAGCATTTAATGAATTGTGTAATAGATTTCTGGCATTATATATTACCTAACCAATGAACAGTGCCATATAAGACTAAAAAACTATTCTTTTTAATGTGGTATGGTTTTGATCTTGGTTCTCTTTAGCCTATGCTTCAAAAAATTATCACAGTCATTTTCTTTTTCACTAGTTTGATACATGAATAATATTATGTGTACGTCTTAATTGAATTACGTGGCATGAAGGAAACCGTTAGTTTTCATAGGACTCTTACCAAAGTGGAATACTCTTGGGAAATATTTAATACTAGAAAGCTTGCAGTAGCAAATTTAACAAGTATGTCCTAAATGTCATTCATACATTATACAGATCAATTGTATTATACTACCATATACACCAATATTATATATAGCCAAGTCATTTTTTCTAAAATTATTATATCCAAATTGTTAGGTTGCTAATATTTCTGATGTTTGTAGCATCTTTATGGGATTATACAAATGAATTTAATAGTTTAATGAATTTCAGAGTAGATAAGCATGGAAATTGAACGTGCCAAAGTTTGCAGAAAGGACAAGGAGAGCATGAATAAATTGATTTTTGGTTTGAGCTTTTTCATCAATTTCTTTATCACTGATAATATATTCTCATACTTAGGCCTACAATGATTATTGATAATGAGCTATTGTCGATTAAGATTTTTTTTGGTTGTCGTTGCAAAATACAATTCATATTTGATGTGCTTGAATGACCGGGCATGGTGGCTCAATGGTTAGAGCGTCCGCCTCATGAACGGTAGGTCGTGGGTTCAATCCCCGGCCGAGTCATACCAAAGACTTATAACAATGGGACCTTCTGCCTTCTAGCTAGGCGCTCAGCATATTAGATTGGAGAAGGGTAATAGTAACATGTTATGTTATGCAGGGCCTGCTGGGAGAGCAGTTTCACAACTGAAGTGGCTACCCTGGGTAAATAAAACGTTATTATTATTATATTATTAATGATGTCGAGTATTAGAATACGTAGATCAATCCCCTTCTCTCTCTCTTTTTTTCTTCTTCTCTTTCCCTTTCTATCTTTATCTCTCTACCTCCCTCTCTCCTCCCTCTCTTTCTCTTCTATTCTTCCAATCATCTTACTCTCTTTCTCTCCTTCTCTCTTCCCCTCTCTCCTCCCTTTCCCCTCTCTCTGTCCCTCTCTATATCTTTCTTGTAGTAGCTTCTCTTCAACACAGCATTTTTCAAAGAACATCCTGTTCCTACTTTCTCATTCTCATGTATAATCAATACTTTGTAAAACCTATACTGTACGTGTCATAATGAAATGATTAATTTCGCACTTGTGTTGTTATGAATACTAAGAAAATATGTTGCTAGAATTTCTTGCCTATTTGCCCCTTGTCTTTTCTTTTCTCTCTCTCTCTATCTCCTCCCTGTTAAGTGCTGAATGCATATTTGCTATATAGCCTGGTATTTTCATTATTCTGCTTTAAAGAGTATGCATTCTGTTCCTCAAATTATCAAGTGATATGATATATTTCAAGTTTCAGTTAGCATATTTTACCTCTAATCGACATTTTAGGATCAAAGATCTTTATTAAATCTCAGATTAGTGCAGTGATATCACAGCAGCATATAGAAGTTGTGATAGAAATTACTGTTCCACAAAATGTATAAAAGCCATCTTATATCTGTGTTTGTTGGTTTGTTTGCTAAGTCTTCAGTTTTCACTTTTATTTTCCCATTTCTTTGTACCTTTTTTCTTTATATTTACTGCTGACAGCAATTTTGTAGCACTTTTATTTTTGTTGTGCCAATTGTAATTTCACAACCCTGTTGATATATTCTGGGACATGACATGTAAACCATGATACTTATGAAGATCTATAAGAACCTTGATTTTATTTTGTGAGTAGAAAATTATTTATCTAAGAAGTTCATAGGATCCACAAAAAGAGTGGCAATATATTGATATGTATGAATGATTTGATGTTACAATGATTAATAAAATGATTTTATTTATTACATGAAGCAACTGAATCTGTATTAAGTGTGAGTTATTGATGAAAAAAGGGGTTGAGAGAAGGAAGAGATAGAGAGAGAGAGATATATAGACAGAGAGACAAGAGAGAGAGAGAGAGAGAGAGAGAGAGAGAGAGAGGAAGAGAGAGAGAAGAGAGGGGAGGGAGGGAATACAAATAGGAAGAGAGATACAGACAGACAGACTAGAGAGAGAGAGCAGGGGTGGAGGAAGAAAGCGACTCTAACTGAAAC